CGTGACGGCTGCTTTATATATTAGACTCACTCCAGCGATTCTGTTGTTTTATTTGTTCTGTGATACACGGGATTGTTCTTTTTCAAAGATGGGGGGTTTTCGATGATTCAATCGGTCATCATCCTCGTCGACGATCTGATCTCATGAATGTGAATGTGAATACAAAATAGAGTAGAAAGACGTTATAGAGTAATTTTTTCTTTTACACATATCTTTTTCTCGTTTCTGGTCTAAAAGGGTCATTGTTTCTTTAGTAGAGTCATAATCATACAAAGGATGCAGTTGGATGGGTGTAAACTGTGTTGGGTAGGTAGGAGATTGCAGAAGGGTAGTAGGGATGAAAGGGTTTATCGAGCACTATCTCCCAAAGTGCCAATTGTAGTCGCTGTAGCGGGCGCCTCTGGCTGACTAGGCAGCATAACAGATCCGGCAGCAGCAGCAGCCCCGTTAATACTAGCAACAGCAGCATTGGCATCATGCGAGATCAGCGAAGGGCCAGTCTGGTTAGCACTCGCAGACTGATGGGAAGATTCCGAAGCAATGGTTGTACTTGGTTCCTGCGACGACGCAGGCTGTCCCCAGTTTGCAAATGGATTCGCAGCACACCATCGATCCTTGACCTCGTACGACTTCTTCTCCCATTCCGCATTGTCGCGACGCCAGGTATCCCAGATCTTGGCATTGGCCTGTCGATTGACCTCTATCTGCTCCAAGTAGGGTCGTTTCACCTCCTCGCTGGCCTGGCGCCACATGAGGCCTAGCGCTTGACGGATCTCGTCGCGCGCGGCCTTGGCGTTGGGATCGTTGGTTGCGGCTCGGCGGGCTTCGTCACACTGCGTGCGACACTTGCCCCAGTAGTCTTTCTGGTACAGTAGGAACGGGTTAAGCGCCGTGCGTGCTGGTCGTGGGGGTGGCGCCCCCAGTTCCTCGTAGATGGCGGCCCACATGGCTTTGTCATACGCTTCCCGATGGAGTGCCTCAGGTGTTGCATTGTTCGCCGTTGCATCAATGGGGTCGAGCGATGGTCTCTTGCTGTTTGTTGAGGGAGGTTCTTTTCGCTTCTGACCTGTCGTCGCTACGGGTATGCCAAGGTCGACAGCTTTGCCTTTCTCCGGAACAAGCGGTTTGGGCACGTCAATGGGGCCCAGAATGGACTCAATAACCTCAGATGCAGCCCGCAGTCCGGATAGGTATGCCCCATGGACCGTGGCAGGGTGAGTGCCGCAGGTGGCTTCTCCGGCAAAATGCAGGTTGCCGATTGGCTTGGCCATGAGGTCATAATCGCCTGGAAGTGCTTGCGCTGCTACATACGAGTAGCTCCCTCTAGTAAACTTGTCCGTACCCCAGCGAGTTATGATGGTCTCCAAGGGGTCTGGAACCGCCACATGCTTGAAGACATTACGCAGCTGACTGGTCACTTCGGCGATGATTACCGAATCTGCTGTATTCTCGGCTTGATGCGCGGCGTCACCAGCCATGAGAGCAATAAGGACCGGGAGACCAGTGGTCTTCATGCAGTTCCAGAATAGGTAGAACCGGCCACGATTTGCAGCATAGTCCTCCTGCATCATACTGTTTCGGTTGCTAGGTTCACGCAGAAGCCCAAACATATCACGCTCCGTGTCCCAGAAAGGCTGATCAAAGACTAAGATCACTTTGTTCATAATCCCGAAGCCAAGTCGGTCAATCGCACCAACTTTCCAATCCGGGAGCGGAGGAGAGAACTGTATCGAGCGTTGTTTCAGGACACCAAGAGATCCCGTAAAGACAACCTTATCCGCAACGAGAGATTCACCATCCTCGCAATGAACCACCGTCTTCTGCTTGCCTAGTTCTGTATGGCCATAGGATATTTTGCTGACAATTTTGTTGGTACGGACATCAAGTTTTGTAGGCAGCGAGAAGAGCCCGTACGGGAGTTGCTGATATCCACCAATCACTTGTGAGTGCTCTCCCTCAAATTCGTTGCCCATATCCTGATCCCACCCGGAAAGACTGAGCTTGCCAATGTTCGCCGCATTTGCGTACTCCAAATTAGCCATATGCCAATTCAATAGTCGCATGTCTTTCGGGGTCAATGGGAGCATGCGCTGGTACTGTCGCACACCATCATCCATCACGGCGCCTAATGTTGGGAACGGGGAGGCTTTAGCCACATTGTCCAAATTGATGGTCTGGTTCACTGCAACCCCATTGTTTAAACTCCAGCCCATCGTTTGACAGGCAAGGCGAGCTGGGTTTTCCTCGCTGTTGTCAGATTCGGCCAATGAGGCCCCGGTCGGTTTAATGTCGGCGGTTTTGTGGCCAACACCTCGCCGGACGCGCTTGGCAGGAAACAGAAGCCCGATGGTCCCAGCAGCCCTGGCTTCTTCGTATTGTCTTATTGTAAGGCCGTCGCTAGTGGACACATCACGTCCGGAATCGATAAGATCCCGGTCACCTTCTGCTGTTGGCACTATCACGGATTTATGGCGATAATTCCCGGATCGGTCCAGTATATCATTGTAGAGCATCTCGTCTGTTGCGTCCCGCGCTTCATCCACCGCTGAGCCATCTATATCGTAGATTGTAGATATGTCGCGCAATAGATGGTAGGGAAGAGCCAGCTGGCCCCGAATAATCTGATCCAAAGGATTTCCATGGTCAAAGCCGACAATAATCTGAGCGCCCATTTCAGCCTTGGGAACTAATCCTGGAGCTAAGGTAGAGGACTGAAGGCTTCGCAAAGGATGTGAGTAGATACGACCCCCGATCCTGCGTCTTCCTTCCAGTACTATCACACGGGGCGATGTGAGCGGGTCATGATAATGGTTGAAGAGGCCTTCCAAGTGGCGTGCACACCCCAGACCGGCCATTCCAGCCCCGATCACAACAATAACAGGCCCATCCCGCCGCCGACCCTTCTTTGAGGCTGCCGGAGAGACTGGTATCTCTATGCAGCCAAAATTGATGTATCCATTGCGCACGAGAAACTCGTAGGCAAACGATGCAAGGTTCATCCAGCGATAATCCTTTGCACAACCCATGGCTTCCTCCTTCGAAACACTCAGCATAGGATTACGCGTCCACAAACGCAGAATGCCGTTTCGAATGTTTAAGTAGACAGTGACATGGAGATGACACATGTGATCTTGGAGGAGTTCTTGTTCCTTCTTGTGAAGCGCGTATGGATTTAGTCGGGACGCATACGCCGCTGCCACACATTGTTGAGCGTAGACTGCAGCGGGCATCCTGGGAGGTATCGAGGAGCGTGGCCGGTACCTCGCCTGTATGGATCCATTGTCGACACCTTTATTGTAGGTCGACGATGATGTTGACGAAGACATAATATTGATGGTCCTAGCTGGAGATATTGACGTCTTCTGAGTGGTCTTGGGGGGTAAGGTCTGCGTCTTCTCCAAATGATTGGAAGTTGCTGGGTTCGTACTCGGAATATAAGACTGTGGTGTTTGGTCTGCTGCCTGAGCGCGATCCTGCAATCCCCGGAGAACGCCATTGATTCCAGGGAAATTCCCCCTTACGCCTCCATTAGGAGTGGGGTTAGAAGGTATAATTCCATTTCCATTTGGAAGACCCCTCGGATATATGCCCTCAGGCTGCTTTGCAGGAAATTGAGAGGGACCCGTTGCAGCGAAGTCTTGGCGCGGTGCCAGCAAAGGGAAAGAGATTCTGCCAGCGGTATCAAAATTGGTGGGCACATGATATTGGTCCAAATGATTGCATTCATAGGCATGGCCATCTGGACCTCGAGTCCCCACAGCTGCGGCAGATTTCATAGTTGCTGGTAATCGAGCAGAAGTGGGTTTTCGACAAGTGCCACACTCTCTCAGAATGTAGGTATATGCTTGTAAGGCTTCTGAAACTGATAGCAGAGAGCTCACGAAACCAACTACTACGCTGCAAACACGGCGACTGACTGATTGACTCTATGGACACCCATCTCGTGAGGTGATGTGTAATTTTAATGCTTGGCCTATTCATCCATGGCGAGCTCCATCACGATCAGTCCCTTGGATGGGTGAAGAAAAGGCCGGGACCAGGGATGTGAAATGTATCTTATCTTTCAAATCAAGTCAGCGGACCACTCGATATCATATATGATTTGCGGGTGAATGCTGGGGTAAGTCCAAGACAAGTATGCATGAAACTGACACAGGCAATGACCAGTTGACATACATGCCGGAGTGGAGTTAGTGGCTAACAGGACATCAGGTCCTTCGCCTGCGAATCCATCACGTTGGTTGACTTATTTCTGGCACCGGCGCAAACCCTACTAACCGCAGGGGTATCTAAGTGGAACGGAGAGTAGTAGCGACCGACTTACCGGTAGGAAGAGAACACCGCCGCCCGAGGGGTGGATATGGAGACAACGAATCAAGGGGGGAAGAGCCACAGTGCAGAGGCAGAAGGGAGTCAGTTCCAAGTAGACGGATGATCTTGCATTGAGGCTGTCGGAGTCGAGTCGAAAAGGGAAGGAAAGTCGGCGGGAAATTCGGCCGGAACCCCGCGTAATTTTCAGTCCGGCCAGCCAATACTTTCGATACTTTCATTACATTCCTGCTGGCCGTCTTCGTGTGCCATCGTCAGCCTGAAGACTCCTCGTCCATCTCCCCCTTTTCTTGCTCCTCCTAGTCTTCCTTTAGGTCTGTCTGATCTCGCTAAGAGAATCTCGGTGAGATGCTGCTTTGCGATCTGACCGTTTGCCCCCAGCTTTGTTCGCGCTCCCGGATCCTCCCGCGTCACAAGCGTCAAGGTGGACCTCCCACTGCTTGGAACGTTGCACTCGTCACCACCGTGCGAATCTCCAATCTCACGCTCAGTGGCCTAGAGAGCGAGGTCTCCAGTAGTACCCGAGGATTGCTTTACTGATCAGTCAACCTACCTGCAGAAATTCTAAAGCTACTCTGTACAAGTACTAACACAACTTGGTGTTCAACAGTCGAGGCATAGCCAGAAGCCGGGCTTCTTATGGGCCCCTCGCCTAATTATAATATGTACGAAACCCCCAAAGGGAATTTATAAACCGTCATGTCCATCCGGAAAAGTGTGCTGTCATCACTCGTAACCGCAGATATCTATCACGTAGCCACCAACGCCCTCGCTATTGACTGTTCCGGGTCAACCATGAGCCCTAGGGTTTCCGCACGTGTGTATGTAGGGTATACATCTCCTCATGGGCCCCATCACCATCTTTGAAGATATCTGAATCGTTGTCGGTAAATTCATCGCGATAAGGGGAGGCTTGTGTGCGCTGGGGGGAGGTCTCACTGCCACTCTCATCGTCAATCGCCAGGTCGACATGGTCGTCGTCGAGGTCGCCGAATCCGATGCGTTCTTCTTCATCACGCGCAAGAAGAGCGGCCGCGCTGTTTACTTCCGGATCCTCGGAAAACGCGCCATGGGGGCGATGGGCAGCATGGTCAGTTTGCAGCGAGCGTCGGATGTCCTCCCTTTCTTTCGCTTCTAGCTCTTTGGCCCGGGCCAATGTTCTTATCCAAGTGCGTTAGTTTCAAAGGCTTGGGTCAATGCAGGGAGGCACCTTGAGTCTTACCTTCTATATATATACAACCCCGTGAAGATACCAATGCAAATAGAGACAATAATGCTGCAAATATTGACAGCCTTGGAGCCTGCGCTCATCTCTTCATTGTTCTCCGACAAGACGCGCAACCGATTACCGATGAATGCTGGAACCAGCAGCTTCGGCGAAATGAGTGCCGTGGCAAGCCCATACGTCAACGGTTGAACTGTGGGGAAGGTTGAGACCGCCCCATTGCATACCGAGTAGGGCAGCGGGCAGAGGCGGATCATGCACAGCAATTTCAAGCCGTCATACTTCAGCGTCAGCGACAACGCTGCGAATCTCTTGTCGCGTTCCATCAACCGGTGGACGAATTTGGATAGAATTGTCCGAGACACAATGAAAGAACAAGTCGACCCAAGCACAGTAGCGGAAGCATAAAGAAGCCATCTATGAGCGGTGTTAGCCCTCCTTGCACATCAATGCAAACTCTTCACTCACCCTTTCCAGATCCCAAAGATGTAGCCCGCCATAGTTCCAAATGTGGACCATCCAACCAACGGTGGAAAGGAGACAAAGAAAACACACAACCACAGAACCCCGTAGGCTAGAGGAGAATGCTCCCATTGTGCCGCCACGGGTTGAAGCCAGATGAAGACCTTCCCAGTAAAGACAAGAAAGCCTATTCCAAGGAGATTGGCCAATAAGAACGCGGACACCGCCCCTACCCTTTGCCAGAAGTTCATCTTGCGCCACGATTCCAGGAGCTGGTGATATGTCTTGGTTGCTCGGTCTACGATCTGATCTCGGAGGGTAGCGGGTCGTCCGCCGGAGATACTGGCTGAATTCCGCCTCCCCGGTGCCCTTCGGCTCCATGGCGGATAGGCCTCATCCTCCGACGGAGACAGAGGTTCTGGGGACGAGGTCGAGACGGACAGTGCCCGGGCGGTGGATGAGTAATCCGCAGGCATCTTTCCAAAGGGGAGTTTGAAATCGTGGTCGAGCGTATGATCCTAACTTGATATTCAATATGCGGAGTCAAGCTCGGCTCGATGTCGATATTGGGTGAGGCGGATGAACGCCTGTGCAGAGAAATGGGCCGACGGGCGCAGACCAGTACGCGACTTGGGATTTCGGCAATGTCTGAATGCAACGCTGTAGATGTTCAATGGTCGTTCAAATTGGCGATGCGCAGTTAACAGCAAGGAGGGCGTAGCTAAGCCCTCGTGTAAGGACGAAGCATGAGTGGATGGCGAGAGAGATAGTAGAGAGTCAGGGAGTGAGAAGAGGAAGGGTCCACGACGTCCGGTCTAGCTAGGCGATGATGAAATGGGAGCTGTCCGGTAATTGGTCAATGAGCTTCTGCTAGTTGCAGCAAAGAGGAATGATCTCGGGTGGTGGGCAGTGGGAGGTGGAACATAAGATCGGATTAGAATGGCATTTGGTATTAGAGATCGAGAGATGGATGCGATAGAATGACCGCGATATCAATCAGCTCATCCAGTCTTACCTCGTGAGAGTCAGTCCGTCTGCATTTCTCTTGAAGGTGGAGTTTAGTGTCTGCCTGAAGGCGGAAATCGGGGAAGATCTTAGTCAGGATCGCTGCTGACTGTTCCACTTTGCCTGTTTCATACGCCTCGATACGGGGGGTTTAGATTACGGGTGGTATTACTGTTTGCCCTCAATCGATTGCATCTTAGTAAGTAGTTAGTAGAGTTGTAGTTACATGAATGAAGAACTGCATTGGTGATGTCCCTGACTGTGGGGAGTCACGAATTAATCTACTATCAGACACTATGGCGACTCCATCGTCTCCATCTCGATCCTGACCAGCAAGTCTTCTTTCTGCTTAGTCCGGCAGATCGACCAGGAAGGCCCAATTCTTAGTGAGGAATTGGCTGCCAGTCTAGATTTCCTCCCCAAAAAAAGGGGGAAACTTGGGACGGTGACAGCACTGCCGTTTCTTTGGTTGAGAGTCAAATCGCGTCCCGGAAGCTTCAGCTTTGATTGATGGCCTGTCAATAATAAAGAAAAAAAACATTAACGACTAATAAAAATAACAAGAGTACCTCTTTAGGTGTGTTGGTTGGAAAGAGAGAAATTTATCGGGAGACACCGCGTAGTAATTGTTTGAGGGGGGGAAATTAACCATCAATCAATCAATACCAAATCCCTCCGCTCTCTCCGACTTTCTTGCTTGCTGCCCTCTTTCCTGCTTCTCTCCCCTTCTTTCTTTCTACTTGCTGGCTTTACCCCTCTCACTCCTCCTCCTTCTATTCTCTCTCTCTCTCCCTCTCCCCTTCTTCTCTCTTCTGTGTGTCTTGCGCGTCCTCCCTCTTTGGACTTCCTTTTTCCATCTCTCCATCCCGTCTCCTCTTCTTATCTTCTCTCTCCCTTCCTTCCTTCGTTTTCCCGGATCCACTCTCTTCTCCCCCCTCCCCGTCATCATCGATCATTGCACGACGGCTGATGCGATGTAATCACCCGTGGACTTCCAGCTTGTCCCCTGTCGCCTGTCAACCTTGCTAACATCCCTCTTTTTTCCATCAAGCTTTAATATTCGTTTCATGAATTCCAGCTGTCCTGGGAACAAATCATGGACGTGGATCATCGAATCTGACCTGTCTTCTGTTGTCTCCTTGATCTGATTTGATTACTGTTCCCAATCTCCAAACGCCGATTACCCCACATCTTCCTGCACACACCGTGTATCCTCCGTCGCCCTCCTACTTCTGCCTTCCTTCGTTCACAACATCCCTGACGATCCAGCATGATTCAAGAAGACCTCCTCGAGGATTGTCTTCGCATCCTCCAGGATCAAGCTCTGGACGAAGAAGAGCAGGTCGAGAAAATAGAGGATTTTGTACGCGAAAAGACCTCCTTATCAGGTCCGTCTCTAGAAAATGCCGTCCTCGACATCCTCTGGCGCCATCGCAATCGCACCTTACCAGACTCCTCCCCTCCGCCGCCCCGTCATACGGTGATTCGCCGCTCATCTCCTGCCCCTTGGCAGATGGCGCGTTCTGCGACCCCATTATCTCCTCACTCGAACCTAGGCACGAGCCCCGGAAGTACCTCCTGGCTCCAGAGCTCCCGAGGCGGCTTATCCCGGCCACCCCTGTCCTCCACCGTATCGCCTTTCACTTCTCCGCGCCCATCGCCTCGACTAGCTCTTGCGCAACCCATCCCTCACTCCCCAAACCTAAACGCATACGAATTCTCCGATCAGAGCCAAGTGTCCGATTTCTACGGTGACTTGGGAAGCGATAGCAATGTGGACTGGCTGGTTGCCGACGACGCGAATAGCGTCACCTCGTCCATTGGGACCCCGAGCATCACAGGAGGGCTGAGCGCCACGGCACCCGAGTTTGTGCCTGATATGAGCCCGCATGATATCTTACGCACTGTTTTGGGAGACAAGCGATCGAACGATGAAATTGAGGCGGCTCTGGAAGCCAACAGCTACGACTTGGGCGCGACGATCGCGTCACTATCGCAACCCGGTGACGGCGACCCCATCTTGCAGCACGCGGAGGATGGCCACGTTGTGGTCGGAAAGTCCATGTCTATGGAGCCACCCAAGATCGCTACACCTCCTAGCAACAGTCGCAGTCCAGTGGTCTGCAAGTACTGGCTGTCTACCGGCCAATGTCTCCGTGCCGATTGCCGTTTCAGTCATGATCTAACCAACCACCTTTGCAAGTGAGTATACCCCTGAGCCTCTCAATGTATTGTTTTTGCAAAAATAGGACCCTAATAGCAGCGCGTTCGTATAGGTATTGGGTTATGGGGAACTGCTTGGCAGGTGACGGCTGTCCATTTTCGCATGACCCTTCAGCTCTCGTTGCAAATCTCAGTGTGACAGACGGTACCCCCGGCACAGGATCGCCTGTCACGTCATTTCACATGGAAAGTACCTCAGATGCCTTTCCTCCTCTGCAGTCTACTGCCGGGATGGGAGACCAATGGGCTGGCCAGTATCTTGGCAAGTATCCTGGCCATTTGTCCGCGTTCCCTGGCAGCAAATACGTGCCTCAGGCCATGCAGTTTGCTGTTGGCAAGCGGAATGGAAGCATGACCAACCTGAGCCGCCCCCATTCCCGACCAGGGAGTCGGCATCAGCATCGTGAGCTGAACCCGGCTGCCCCATCGGTCGATGATCCAGACGCATTCCCCACCCTTGCTGCTGTCAGTGCCAAAAACACCGGCAAGAAGCATCATGGGAAGCGCGGAAATCGCGACAATAATTCAAGCAGAGAAAACATGCCTACATCTTTAGCGGACGTGGTTCGCATGTCCCCATCTCCGGCACCAGGGAAGGGGAAGACTTCGTCTAAAAACAATCGGGATGGGGCTAAAGGCCGTGAGCATAGCGCAGCCGCTCAGGCAATCCCACCGCCGCAGAATATTCCCTGGTTGGAAACTGGTTCCCGAGCGAACCAACAATATATCAAATACCGGACGGAGGCTATCCGCCATGGTACTGTACGGAACAAATTTCTTCAGAGGTAAGTTGATACTCTTTCAAAGTCAGAAGACTTGGAGCTGATTGTCCGGATAGTGCTGCTCAAGCGTGGAACCGCAATGATGCAAGAGCCGCAAAAGCTCTGTCTCTGCGGGGACAGGCTGAAAACGAAGCCATGCGCAAGTGTCACCGGGAAGCAGCACGACAACTGTACGAAGAACGTAACAAACATCTCTTAGACGCTGGTCTGGATGATGCAGCGGAGGAACTCTATGTTGATTTGCATGGCTTGCACCCCGAGGAGGCCATTGAATACCTGGAGAAGATCCTTCTCAAACATGCCCGCGAAGGCCGGCGAGTAGTCTACGCCATCACGGGCACGGGCCATCATTCAAAGAACGGCAAGGACAAGATCGGCAAGGCCGTCAAAGCATGGCTGAATGAATGGAAGTACCTGTTCCGCGAGTTCAGTGTCCCCGGCGAGCGGGGTGGATATGTTGGAGGCATCCTGGGGATTGACCCCACCAGCTACGATAAATCATTAGCCAAGAGTTTGGAAGACGATGCCAACGGCAAGGCGGACGCGGACCAGCCTGTCCTGACCATGGGCAAGATCCAGCTGTTGAAGCGCGAAGACCTGGAGTCAAAGCAATAATACACAGCAAAATTTCCTCAAACCCTCAAGGAAACCCTTTCTTGGTTCCTGATCCTCAAAGTCAACGTCGCACTCCAGCTCAACCTCGTACACGCTTTGGAGAATACTAGGGTTGATATGAATCCTTGTAGGGAAGCCAATGCGCCGGAGTGTAAGAGGTGATCATTAGACTATCTACTCAAACATTTTCTTGATCTCATTTCGGTTCTACCTTCCCCTCACGAACAAGTACCATCATATATAGTCACTATTCCTAATTTGTCAACCGGCTTGACTACTTGTATATAACTCCACTCACCCAAAGACACGCACATCATCTGTAATCATCTTCATCACTCCGGCTCCTGGTGCCCCCACTCCTCCCTCAAACGTCCAACATCAAATCCACACGCCTCAGCCTTCCTAACCACCGCCCTAGCCTTCTCCGCTACCGGCACATCAATCATCTTCCCATCCAGCGTCCACGCACCCCGTCCGGCCCTCGCAGCCTTCTCATCCGCCACACACACCCTCACAGCCCACTTAACTTCCTCCGGATCCGGTCCAAAGATCGCCTGCGCCGTCTCGACCTGCGACGGATGAATACACTGCTTCCCATTGAACCCCAGCCGTCTCCCATCACGACATTCCTCCTCCAACACAGCAGGCGGAGACCCGTCCCCCTTGGTAGATTTATACGCCGTGCAGACCAAATCAATAGTCGAGGGGAGGTTCGCAGCGCGAGCAGCAGTAGCAATCATCGACCTTGCGAAGAGGAATTCGGTCAATGATGGGGTGCGAGTGATGCTGAGGTCGAGGGCGAAGTCTTCAGCTGCGAAGATGAGGCCTTGCAGGAGGGGCGTGGAAGCGCAGATTTGGGTGAGGTTTGTGAGGGATTTGGCGGATTCGACTAGAGCGAGGAGGGAAATGGGGGTTCGGGGGTTTGAGGGGTCTTGTGTTTGTTGCTGTTGGGAGAGAGTGTGTGTGATGACGTCGTTCACGAAGGTGAGATCCGAGGGGGTGTTGACTTTGGGGATGACGATTGTGGTGAGGTTGGGGGATTTCAGCTATTTAGTTTTAGTATATTGGATTGAAAGGGGAGATTTGGGAAAGGATGATGCGTACCACTTCGGTGAGATCGCCTAGGGCGAGACCGCTGTCTACGGAGTTGATTCGCACGGCTCGTTCGCGGATTCCCTGCGGTGCGGGCTCGTCGAGCGCTCTCCGCACCAGGGACCGAGCTTCCGCTTTCTTGTGCGGAGTTACGCTGTCTTCGAGATCGTAGGCCACACAGTCGGCGGTTAGAGTGCGGGATTTGTCGATGAAGCGTTGGGAGGAGCCCGGGACTGAGATTGGATGGGTTAGTTAGGGGGTCAATTGGTATAGCCGGAGAGGCAGGTTGGGGAGTGGGATGGGTGTGGAAATGCGGGGAGAGCTGCGGGTTGGGAAGAGATGGGGGGAGAAGAGACGTACTGTAGAGAAGGGCGCGACGGAGGGTGTTTCTAGCTGCCATTGTGGATGGGAGGAGAGTGCTCAGTTGGGAATATGATAGTGAGTGGCTATCGCACTGAACTGCAATGTCTCCGGTGGATTGAGGAAATGGAGATAGTATCGGATGAAGCTGCAGCGGTTGCGGATTGACCCGCAACTTTAAGAGATCCTCGGTTTGCGCATAAAGGCTTCTCCAGTCAGGAACCGGCCGATGACCTCATCCGGCAGGTGTCGCGACTCGCGCGTATTTTAGTTTGTTCCATTGGCGTTTACACCATTCCCTTGTGATGAATATTGACTTTACATCCTTAGCAAACGCTCAACCCGGGCAATATGAATGAGCCCGTGTGCCGATCGCGCATGAAACAGAGGGGAGTCGGAGAAATAAGATGAAAAGAGTGTCAAGTAACCGTCTGCCGCTCCACATTCTGCCGTGCCCCACCGCCCCCTGGCTGGAGACACGCAGCATCAACGCAATCCCGCCTCGCATGATCTGGACTCGTCAGGAGGCTGCTTGACTGCCGTCTATCTCATGTGCATTGGACTGTTATCAGAAGTAACTGCTTTGTCTTGATACTGCACGCTCTCCGTCATCATGGAACAGCAACCGCTCCAGCCGCAGCAGGGCGAACTGAACTGGCGCCTCAGTGCTCACCCGATTACCCTCCTGTTCTTCCTGGGCTTTCGCATCAGCGCCCTACTGATGTACCTCTTCGGCGTGCTCTTCATCAAGAACTTGTGCGTAAACCCCCTTCACTCTCAATTCTGTGATCATAGCTCCCTCGTTCTCCAATTCCGGAACCTCCCAAACCTACACCGTCTAGACCCAAGCAACCAACCCAGCTAACCGCCGCAACCAGTGTCCTCGTCTTCATCATCACCCTCCTCATCCTCTCCGCCGACTTCTACTACCTCAAAAACATTGCCGGTCGTCGCCTGGTCGGTCTCCGCTGGTGGAACGAAGTCAACACTTCCTCCGGCGACTCCACTTGGGTCTTCGAGTCCTCCGATCCCACTACCCGCACTATCACTGCCACGGACAAGCGCTTCTTCTGGCTGAGTCTGTACGTGACGCCTGCGCTGTGGATCGGTCTTGCCATTCTGGCCATTATCCGTCTGAGCAGTGTGATTTGGTTGAGTCTTGTTGGTGAGTTTATCCTTCCACTCCCCCTTTCAGCAGGTGTATAAGGAGTGTGGAATACTAACTGGGCACAGCCATTGCTCTCGCTCTGACTATCACCAACACTGTTGCGTTCTCCCGGTGCGATCGCTTCAGTCAGGCTTCGACGTTCGCGAATAGTGCGCTTTCGGGTGGGGTTATGAGTAACCTTGCGGGAGGTCTGCTGGGCAGGCTTTTCAAGTAGGGTGTATGTCTTTGAAATAGGATTATGCTGGGGTTCATACGGGATGTGGACCTCGGGCGGTCTGTTTTGTCTTTGATTTGTTCTTTTGAGTGGGATTGATGAGTGTAGTGGGTTTGTCCGGGGAAGAAGGAGTAGGTTGGCCTAGGGGAGAGGAGCTTTTGTTTTGTCGGTTATACTCTACTAGCGTTATGGGTTAGATTTCATTGTATTGTATCATTTGTTACTGCTGGTATGTTCAAGGTAGTCTCTAAAAAGACATCTGATCAGATGTAGAGTCTACTTATCGCCGTACACTGGGGGATGTATAGTCCAACCTCCAATGGAACTATCAGTCGCAGAACAATAAGGTCAGCTTTGTCTACCGAATTCCACTGAAAGACTTAGAGAAAGCATTATCATATTCCATTATCCAGCTGTCGGTATACTATAGGGTACGTGCGTCCTCAACAGCCAACTACGCACGATAGATTATCATCCAACAAACTGTACCATTCTTGCACTCCTCCGTTCCAGAAACCGTCAAGTTCAGAACGACCATCCGCCCTGACGGAACATAAATCCCGTTGGATCATATGCCTTGGCGATGCTTGCCAGTCGCGCCTTGTTCGTAGGTCCATAACTGCCATACACATCCTGATAGTCGGCGGCATCATTCATGAACAGAGGATTCGAACTATCAAGATTATTAGCCAGCTGCCCTAAACATAGAAAAGAAACAACACGAAAGAAATAAGGAAACGTACGAGATCCAGTCCACATCACCAGACTGATAGTGCGTCGGCTTAGTTCCCAGCAGCGTGTTATTAAACGCCTCCTTCACAGTATCCCCAACCTCGCGCAAGTACTCAGGACAAGCATCATTACAGACCGGGTTAATCCAGATCAAGTCATTCTCGACCCAGACACGATCACCGTACGCAGGGTCCAAACCGAGAGCATTACCACCAGCGTTCTGAGAAGCACGAGCAATACGCACAGACAGCGGCTGCGGGGTAAAGGTACCGAGCTGAAAGTCCAAGTTCCGGGAGGAATCATTCTTGATCATAGACTGGTACGTAGTCCAATGGGTCTCAAACAGCTGGGTCATCTGCTGGGACGGCATGTTGGGGAAGGTATTAACGTGGATGGCGGCGTTGATGCCGTAGATCTTGGCTCCGCCTACCGCGTTCGTTAGATCGGTGTAGGTTGTGGTTTTAGTAGAGTCAATGAAGGATTCGATATCTTCGAATCCAGCAAAGGCGTTGGCGCTGGGCTTGGCTCCGTCGTAGAAGAAGAAAATACCGGGGTTGGAGACCAGGGCTCCGGGCAGGCCAAAGTCGAAGGTCGGGATGATGGCGGCTTTGGCGTCTGGGTATTCGCTGGTGAAATTGGAGAGCGCTTCAAATATTTGCTCGCGTTTGTCGGCAGTATAGGAGCGAATGCCACCCCAGACTTGTCCGTTGTCGCCGAGTGGATGGGCCTTGAGTGTGAACTTGGTGACAATGCCAAAGCGGTTGCCTCCACCGCGCAAGGCCCACCAAAGATCTGGGTTGGAGGTGCTGTTCGCGTTGACAATGGTGCCATTTCCTAGGACTACTTCGAAGTTGACGACGTTGTCGCATGCTAGACCCTGAATTGGGTTAGTGTTGGGATGTTGGTATGGGGAAGGGGAGAGGGGGGATGGGGGTAAGGTAATACATATTGAGCTGAGTAGTATGACAATCCTCCTCCAGTTGTGAGCCCTGCCACGCCGATATTGGCCAATCGGCCACCTACCACGACTTGGTTTGTCTTCTGCGTGACGGCGTAGACATCACCCCATCGTGCTCCCGGACCGATGTCGAAGCTCTGACCGTCCGAGTTGCGGGTGGTTGAGGACATATTCTCGTTGAACGAGATAAGGACGCCTCCATTGGTACTGGAAAACCCCACATTGAAGTTGTGTCCACCTGCTTTAAGTGCAAAGGGTGCTGTGGGATACTTGTTTAGCTGCTGAACTGCAACGGAGACCTGTTGCGCGGTTGCAGGGAAGAAGGCGCAGGCTGGACGGTTGTCAGCGTTCACACCGTTCCAGTACTCCTTGACTGCATTGCTGTAGTAGGACTGGTTCCAGAATGTCTCAGTTGCGTAGGTGCCTGTGGGGTCCCAGACGGTGTATTGGGGGTAAACCGTGTGTAGGTGTTGGCAAACGGACACAGCGTCGGTGTTAGGTGCTGCCAGAACAGGGGCCACTGCGGCCAGAAGAAGAGCAGCTGCTATCATCTTGAACTTGAATAGCTTTGCTTGGTCCATGTCTGGTACAACGAGGTCTTTTGGCCATCTTAAATGCGAGGCTCAGGGGGTCCATGCTGAACGGACTTTGTATCATCTGCTGCAATGCATCCTCAAAAAAGGGCAATATTTCGTGTCGTATTTGCGTATTTGCAATGTTAGATTCTGGATCGGCACGAACTTTGGGACTAAAATAGGCTGTTTGATGATCCATCGGGCGGAGGATACTCTTCAGGGACTGTCAACTCATCAGAACGGAGGGGGATCTGCACAAAACCTCGAAGCGAAGTCTCAACTTTGAGAGTGACCGAGGATGCACGTGTCTTCCCCGCTACACAGTGATTCTAATGATTCAGTACCGAGTACCTTCTCTTAGGTAGTTTGAGGAGGTTTGAGAAATCTGTTAAGGGGTAAATCGAGAGCAAGTATAGAACATATCGTGGCTTACGCTATTTTCCATGTTGTCAGCTGGGATTCGTCTCTCCCGCTGAGAATACGTCAGATTAGCACTGATCTATTGGGCCGAGGATATCATATTCTTCTTGACAGGTTATTGAACATCTGAAAATTCCTCATAGCCCGGCTTGCATTGGGTGGTTTTCTTTTTCGATGCTTAACCATGCATAGCGCTTTGACAAATATCTCAAAATTTTATAGCCAATCCAAAGGGGGTCTCATGAAATGTGACAGAGCAGAGCGTCAAAACTCACATGTATATCTGCCACGATGAAGGAAGAAGAGGTGTAACATCTTATGTCAAATACTGGATGCAAGGGGTGTCCCGCTCAAAAATTGAAGCTCCGGAGCACGGCTCGGGTAGGGTTTGATGCATCCGCAGTGCTACAGTGACGGGGCAGCAGAAACGTGGTAATTACTTCAGCTTTCCGTAGAACTAACGACACAACAACTTGTTTTCATGACGGATCTTCTGGACAATATTGACAATGAAACTATGAATTTTCCTTGGAAAGCACATCTCTCGGCTACTCAATATCCTTAATAGTTTCAGCTCTATCGATATAGATGATTTCTCAGGAAGAGAAATTCGGCGTCGCGTTGAAGAATCACTGCCGCGTGATACACTGAAAACCAGGTATTTAAGCGTCGCATGGTTGCCAAACCAGATATGGTATCTGGATCCCATAATCTGCCACGGGCAATCTTCTACATTCGCTGAGTATGAGTTAATGATTGATAACAGGACGGTTCTTCGCCTCGACTCTGGATCACTAGTCTCAAAACATACAAGCGCTTATCTCTTAGTCACCTAATCTTGGCTAGTTTATCGATTTGACTACAGGCGAACTGAAACCTGAAATCATCAACTTCACGAAGTCCAATTGTCATCTACAAACTACGCACAAGTCATATTTCCCAGTCACTATCGCGTAATTTGAGATGTCACAGAATACGCCACCCACAGTACAGGAGCTGCGCCTGGGCACCCGCAATTCCAAACTGGCATTAGTACAAGCAGAGCATGTCTCCAAGGAATTGACCCGTGCTCACCCCGGTGTCCAGTTTCCCTGGCAAACCGTGGTGGTGCGCGGTGATGTTGACAAGAGCAGTCCTTTCTTGAAGTTTGCAGGGCCATCTGATGCAGCAAAGAACATTTGGACCGAAGAGATGGAAACCAAGCTGTGCGCAGGAGAGCTGGACCTCCTCGTGCATTGCCTGAAAGATATGCCGACGCGCCTACCAGAGAACTGCACACTGGGGGCTATTGTTTATCGGGAAGATCCCACCGATGCGTTGGTGATGAAGGAGGGGCTGCGGTCGCAGTATACGGATCTGAGTCAATTGCCCCCCGGCTCCGTGGTGGGCACTAGTTCCACTAGACGGAAAGCCCTACTTCGATACAGATACCCACACCTGAAAGTGGAGGAATGCCGTGGCAATCTGTAAGAAAACAGCCCCTTACTGTCCCTAATACTCGACATTCTTTTAACTTGGCATGGCAGCGGAACGCGACTGAGAAAGCTAGATGACCCAGAAGGTTCATTTTCGGCAATCATCCTGGCCACGGCCGGTATGGTCCGCATTAATCTAGAAGACCGCATCACTAAGCGCTTTCCTCCATCGGAATTCCCGTATGCTGTCGGTCAGGGCGCCTTGGGCATTGAAATCCGCAAGCAGGATACCCAGACAGAGACCATGGTTCGCAAAATTGAAGATCTACTTACCCGACAGATCTGTCTGGCAGAGCGCTCACTACTGCGCACTCTTCAAGGTGGCTGTTCGTCTCCGGTTGCAGTACAATGCACTGTTGAGCAGCCACCGACAGCTTCCTCGGCAGCTCGATTGCGACTAGATGGTACTATTATTCATCCCCATGGGACAACATTGATATCCGAACGGACGACAGCGGAAGTGGGAACGGATGAGGATGCTGAGGCGCTGGGTGCTACAGTGGCTCAGCTTTTGTTAGCAAATGGCGGGCAAGCTTTGTTGGAAGAAATTCGGTTGCTACAAGAGACGATTACGACCGACGCGAAATAGTGGAGGACCTGAAAATGTACCACTAAATAATAGAATCAATCCCCACTCCATATAAATTGCTACGGCTGCTTACTTTCACGCTATCTATTACCCATGCTCTAGCTGTCAGTGGGAGGGTCCTACCTACGGAACGGTACCCTTGGAGGCTCAGAATAGCATCAATTAAAGACTATTGGGCATCGTCTTGCTCTCATGGGCCCTCAAAGAGCTCATAGGCATGTCGCGATAAAACTCAAATACATAGTCGATAAGTACCGGAAGAATGGCACACCAGTGGATGCATTTTCCGACTACCTTGAACACGTAACATAGGGTGTTTTGCTTAGTTCCTGACAATTTCATGACTCCGTTCCCTCAACCCTTGCAATATAACGTTTCACCCATACATCTGGCATATATATCGAGGTTTTTAGCGTTCCCAGATGCTCTCCTCCCTCTAACCCTCACTTTAGCCTCGGGACAAGATGGTACCCAGATCCAAAGGGAACATGGCAGAAACTTTTACGAGCCTTCCAATGAAGTTACTTGCGACGATTGTATCTTATCTACCCAACCGTGATATAAAGTCTTTACGCCTGACGTCCCACCTTCTGCACCAAATCGCGCACTTACGTATGGAACGTGTTTTTTTATCGGCTGACCAACGTAACCTTGATGTCTTCCGTGCGGTTGCCGACCACGAAGTCTTTCGCCAGCACATCCAAGAAATTATCTGGGATGACACGCGGCTGTTACTCCCACCCCGATTTTCGGTGCTAGACTACGGACGAAATTCACGAGAGCAAGGCTCCTGCGCAGGAGCTGAACTCTGGTACATCAATGCTTGCCGAGAAAATATTGTAGATTTGCGGAGGTACCAGGCCGACTATACGGGGTTGGCGGGCAGCATAGAGCGGGCCGAGCAGGATGTTGCTTCCACGGTATGGCTGAAAGAATCTCTTGCTTTCTATAAGAAATTGAGTAGGGAGCAGGAAGAGAACATTCGCACTAACGCCGACGTGGAAGCCTTTGAGTATGGGCTGAAGCAATTTCCAGCCCTGAAAAGAGTCACAGTGACACCAGTTACCCACACACGGATCTTCCATCCGCTTTACCAAACACCCATGGTCCGCACATTTCCGCCCGGGTTTAATTATCCTATCCCGTGCGGATGGCCGACACACAAGGAGAATCATCCCGCCCTTACCCCGTGGACCAATTCGAGCGAGCACGGGAAGGACAGATGGCGTGGAGTTCGGGCTGCACTACATGTGCTGGCAAGAGATAGAGAGCATCACAACGTCTCTGAGCTCGTTTTTGGTGTGAACCAACTGAACACAGGGATCAATGGCACGATCTTGGAACAACCCTGTGAGGAGCTTTTGAACCTCTTATTGATCCTTAAGCAGCCAGGTTTCAAGCGACTTGATCTTGCTATTATATGCCCCAATCAATATGAACGTGGATGGCCTATTTTCTGCAACGGGAATCTGCGAGACGTATTGAGAGTTGCAGTAGATTTAGAGCACTTCAGCTTCAAAGCCAATGTGTCTGCGCTGCAGGAAAACTCGTCTAGTGATATTTACTTTTCGAATATTCGACTTGATACCGTCTTTCCTGTCGCCAAATGGCAGAGACTACACCACTTTGGACTCTCAGGCTTGTCAGTGCATACAACTGACATGGTCAGGCTTCTGGATCGGCTGCCACTCACCATCCGCTCAGCCGAACTGAGCTTCTTGAGTTTTTCGGAGCCCTATATTGACAACTGGTCAATTCTGATCGAAGGAATCCGGAACCGTACACGGTGGAGATATCGAAGTATTAGTAAAAGGCCTAAGCTTGTTGTGGGTGTGGATGTAGTGTGGAATCGACAGCCTGGCCTAGGGATCTGGATCGAAAGGGAAGTACACGAGTTTCTGTATGGAAATGGGCTAAATCCATTTGACGAATATGGTATTGTCAGGCCGGGTGTGGGATTTGAGCGGGACTCGTTTAACCCTGATTATGAGCGGCCTCAGGTTCATCCCGAATGGTTGATTTGGCTGGATGTTATGGAAAACCATGGATTATGACAGTTTTGCAACGTCTGTAGAATTAAGTAGAGCTCTACAGGTTTCATTGAATTAAAAAAATGATTGAGTTAGTGCTAATATTGCTTATAAGCTGGTAGGCTGATGATGCATTGAAGGAGACGAGGTTCTGGTAACTACTATTACTACCAGCCCCCCCCCCCCCCCCTTCCCTCTATGTACTATCCCGTATTTTCTGTAGGTTTCCAAGCTATCATCTCGTAAGATAAAATTTTTGGAATTTTGCAATTTTAGACTTCTTTCCCTAGCCAAGTTAGCAGATCGAAAAAAGAAAGTGCGATGCTTTTTGCTGCCACGTCAATCCCTGTCATTAGCCACTCAGCTAAAAATCCAGCCTTGCGCAACTCATTTTCGCCGATCTCCAACATCCATCAACCTTTCCACTCATACCAACACAATACCAAGATCACCACTCATCGCTGAACAAAATAATCTCTGCCTGAGATACAGCAAATGAGCTCGCCAACTTCTCCTCTTCGCCATGAAGACTTCACCGTAGCCTGGATCTGCGCCTTGCCCGTGGAGATGGCAGCCGCCGAGGCCCTGCTGGACGAGCGTCTACCCGACCTGCCCGCCCAGCCTCACGACAACAACACATATACTTTCGGTGTCTGTCACGGTCATCGCGTTGTTATTGCTAGTCTACCGTCTGGGGTTTACGGGACTAATTCTGCAGCGGTCATAGCTACTGAAGTTCGCATACGTTTCCCATATCTTCGGTTTGGACTGATGGTCGGAGTGGGCGGAGGGGTGCGCGATGCTGGAGTTCGGCTCGGGGATGTTGTCGTGAGCAAGCCCACTCGTGAATATGGAGGAGTTATACAATATGACTATGGAAAGGCGATTGATGGGGGTGAATGGGAGCACACGGGAATGTTGAACAAACCACCGACGGTTTTGCTGACCGCAATCTCTAGACTTCAGGCAGCACATCTACAAAAGCCGAGTCAGGTCTCGGAGTTAGTCTCAGAAGTCCTTGCGGTAAACCCTAGTATGGCAACTACTTTTAGCTGTCCGCAATCATCAGAAGATGCGCTAAGCGGGGGAGCTGCGAGCCTGGAACAGCCATGTGGAATTCACTACGGCTTGATCGCATCAGGTAACATGGTCGTCAAGGACGGGAAGCTCCGGGATAAAATTGCAAAGAAATATGATATTTTGTGCTTTGAGATGGAAGCTGCTGGCTTGATGGATAATTTTCCATGCCTTGTTATCCGAGGAATCTGCGACTACGCTGATACGCACAAGAAGAAAGACTGGCAAGGCTATGCCTCCTTGACGGCAGCTGCCTACGCGAAAGAGCTCCTCGCTGTGATCCCGAGGCATTCTGTTCTAGAGACCCCAACTGCCACGTTAAGCCTGGACTGTAAGTGCACGTGGTATATAGTCGTCGGTTTCATTGTATGGGGACTTACGAATTGCGGCACCAGGGCAGATTGGTAATGGCTCTTCGAGAAGGGAGCCATTGTCCAGTGGTTGGGTCAGCAAGTCGAGTAAGAAACTCTCGAGTAGTATGTTGCAGAAAACTTATACGTTGGCTTAGGATTCGCTTTTGATGACGATTTTCTGGCGCGTATCACACGCTACGACCACGAAAGAGTACACCAGAGGCTTTCACGGAAAAGACTCCTTGGAACTACACAATGGTTCTTAGATCACCCGGAATTTCAGGCCTGGCTTTCTAACAGGGCCTATCCTTGGCTATGGTGCTCTGGTAAAAGTAAGTGCCCTCCAGATCTCCCATGTATAACATTGGTTACTTACAGTGTCACAGTCGGTTCTGGTAAATCCATCATTGCGTGAGTATCATGTTTCCTTGACTGAGGAAGGGCCTTGTACTGATGACCCAATAGAGCCACCGCAATTGAAGAAGCGCGTAGAAAACCGTTACAGCCCCATGCCCCTATCATTTTCTTTTACTGCGACGTGCAATATGATTCGGACCTATCTCAGTTGCTCTCGAGCTTCATACGTCAACTGACAGAATTTATCATCAAGAGGGCTCAGCCATTCTCGGAAAACGGCCAAAAAATGCTGCAAAGATATTTCGGAAGCGAAAGGGAAGTTCCGGATATTGATGATTTGGAGGACATATTTGCTATTTTGTCCTCTGATGTGTCAAATGCCACCTATGTAATAGATGGCCTTGATGCGTTGGAACAGGCAGACGCAAGGCGTCTCCTTACTTACTTTCGATCACTATGCCGAACCGGCGGGGATAAAGCCATAGGCCCATGGCTACTCATCTTCAGCAGAGAATACTTTGTGGGAGGCACAAGTGTTGCGACATACCTTCCGAAAGTACCTCAGATCTCCACGACTTACAATGTGTTACAAGATATTCAAGTCTACATAAGAGAAAGTATTGCAGACCGAATGGTGCTTCAACCGCTTACTGAAGACAATCAGCTTATCAGGGATATGGAAAATATCTTATTGCAAGAGTCTTCGGGAATGTAAATCAAGCCCATAAAACTTATATTACGTGCAACCTTTACTGACAGAGTGCAGGTTTCTGTGGGTTTATCTACAAATCGAGATTATTTGGTACACTTGTGCCACCGAGCAAGAAATACGTGTCGCTTTAGCAACCTTACCAAAAGGTCTTGAGGAAACATACCAGCGCTGTTTGAAGAGGATAAACTGTCACGATTTTCGTGCCATCAGAACACTTATCTGGGTTCGCTTCAGTGCACGACCGCTTCATTGTGAAGAACTGCAGGAGGCAGTAGCCTTGGACTTGAACGACAAATGTTGGGACCGGGAAAAGATTCCACGATGTGACTTTATCTTGGGTTGGTGCGCAAACCTCGTCGTCTTAGACCCTGTCGATAGCTGTGCGCGCTTCGCACACCCATCAATCTGCCAGTACCTCGACAGCAGTCTCGATGCACATTTGCTTCAATTCCCAGAGTCAGTCCGCTCAGGAAACCAAATATGTGGACGTCTTTGCATCACGTATCTTTCGTTCTCTGATTTCCACCTTCATCTTTCCAAGACAACAAAGTCTGTGGAATGGAATGTGCGTGGCAAGGACTTGCTTCCGAAGCATGTCCCAGGCTTTCGGCTTATAAAAAGTCTTTTGCCATCGAGGCTAAAGCATCATTTATCTGTCTCGCTACCTTCACCGCCCGTACGTACTGTGCCATCGCCGTCTTTGGCGCGCTTTCGGTTTCTGTTCTATGCACGAAGTCATTGGACCACTCATACCAAGCACTTCTCGGAGGAAGATCCTCTGTGGGACATGTTCAAGCTCTTGGCACTGACATCTAATGAAAGTTGGGGTTTTCATCCATGGAGAGCAGATGCTCGGTCTCAGTTTTCACACTTGCAAGCCATGTTTGGATGGGCAGTCAGGGAACGCCACTTGCCACTTTTCAGACTTACAATGCAATTTCCAGTCCACATACGACGCATTTGTGATTTACCGCTTAGTGGGGAGCTGCTTCCGGCCTTACACTATGCCTGTAAACAGGGATATTCTGATGTGGTCTCCCGGCTACTGCCCTTCTGTGACATCAACAGAGCGGATCTGCAAGACTTCACCCCATTGCACTACGCTGTGGAAAGGGGCCATGCTAATATAGTGGAAACTCTCTTATGTCAGAAAAGGCTTAAAGCGCATAGAGATTCTCACGTTAAAGGAGAACTGCTTCTGTTGGCTTCTAGGAAAGGCCATACAGAAGCGGTCAAAATCCTCTTAAAGAAAAGTGCAGACCTGGAAGCCAGAAATTCAAAGTCACAAACCAGCCTGATAGTGGCTGCCGCATCTGGTCATATACTCACGGTAAAGCTTCTTGTTGAAGAAGGAGCCGATATGGAAGCCATCGATCATGAAGGGGATACTGCCCGCCTCTATGCTCTTCAGAACCGTCACATGGAAGTAGTCGATTTCTTTCTTGAAGTTGACCTGGCAAGCGATCGATGCAAGATGGAATCCGTGCTACTTTCAGCAGTTGAGGATGACGATCCTGAGTTGGTCACTCTTCTAGTTAATAAGGGGCTCAACCCGAACTCAAGTTGCAAGACGGCCATCGGTCGGGATGATTGTACAATTCTCACTTGGGCAGCCAAGAAGGGATACAAAGATTTGGTGCAACAGCTCATTCACTACGGTGCGGACGTCAATTTGCAGGATAATGATCGTTGGACTGCACTTGCTCAGGCTGCAAAATATGGTCATGACTCCGTCGTCAGACTACTAATGGAGCATAATTCCTACATTGATTTTCCTAACGACTACTTTACGCCCCTTCAAGTTGCTGTAGTCAACGGGAATAATAACATGGTGGAAAGTCTCATTCAGCATGGCGCAGATGTTAATCTTCCTTACGAACAGTTTACGCCCCTTCAACTTGCTGCAGCGAATGGGAGAAAGAGCACAGTCAGAATTCTCCTTCAGCATGGAGCGAGTGTCACACATTCAAGTCTGGCACCCGATTCACTTGAGACCAGATATCATCTAGGGGATTATGTGTTGCAGCAGCTGAGCCCAGGAGGGGGCTCTCAAATGGATATTCGAGGCTCTGAAGGTCGCGCACATTTGAGGAGGGCCGTAGAGATAAGTCTTACGGCTAGAGTCAATAACGAAAAGCCGCGACTAGTCGCGCGGCATCCTTTCAGTAGACGACTATGATCATTACGAGTTAGTCCCGACTTTGGGGGTTATGAAGCCGGTCGAAACGCATGCGAGACTGGTGGTGCAAATGCTGTTGCCTTGGCCGTCCGGCATGGTTATTCAACTATTTCACGGCTTCTATGTGACAGCTCTGCTTATTGGAGAAGTCTATAGCAGTTTCAAAAATGTTACCACACACTGAAACTAGCCGTGTCAATTGGAATGTTTGCTCAATGAGGTGCTTTGCTGTTCTATTATGTTCCGTGAGGTTATCTTGATGTATACTACAACATTTCCCGCTTGAAATAGACAGCGCCCAGGGTTGAGCTATCATTCTGTATATCATTAAGTCCATGGTATAATGTGTTTCTGAGTGAGCGAGTACGCCAGGAATCATATAGAGCGGCCTGATTGTTTGGGTGGGCATCTGGGTTTGAAAGATGAATGATACCCTAAAGCAGGAAATTCAAGAAACGGGGCCCAGATTGGAAGCCTCCAAGAGTTCCTGAATTCAGCCGGCGGTGAACAGACTTGGGGATTGTAATACATCAAGAAAACATGAGAACCACCCCCCCCATTCAAATACCCTTTTACGGTGTTTTCTTGAATGCTATCCTCTCTACAGGGTATCAAAAGCCAGATATTTGTTATCTGCGAGCGCGCGCGCGCAGAAATTTCCACCCGAGGACCAGTTCAAGCTTCAGGAGTTTTCAGCTTCATTTACAAGGCTGCAACAACAATCCTGTGCCTGCAAGGCTGAGTGCTCCTGGTGGTGTTATCTCAACCTATGAAACCCTCTAATGCACGAATGAGGTCTAATCGCAGCGCTTATGCAAGTCGCCAGAACTGTCATTTGGCTTGCGCAGGGGTTGAAAGCCAACGGCACGAGGCTAACGACGCTGCTAATGCACCTTCGCTGCGCCGTATTGCTTCCTTAGCGTGCTTTTTGAATTGCGTTATCTCAGAGAAATTGTCCGTTGGAAAGAGTCGGTGAAAGGCAGATACTATGCCTCTGTCTGGAACAATCTCATGATAGGGTTATAATATTCAACTTGCTGTATTTCTCACTAGAGGTGGGAGTGAAAATTACTAGGGGTATTCACCTGCGGAGAGTGAACCGCGCGGTGAGGAAGCTTGCTACCGCGTATTCTATCTATCGAAAGGTATCTCTGATTGCGAATTTCCACCTCAACACAACAGGGATCCTGGCTTCTGCTTTTTCAACTGAGCTCAAATTCAGTTCTGCCTGTCGTCGTGCTTGATTCAGCCTCGCCGAAAGCCTTATTTCACCCCCACTGCCTGGGAAGTTGTGGGACATCCTCATTGTAATATCTTCCTTCTTTGCCTTCAAATCAGCTTTACAATAATATCCTGCCTTGTTTAAATATCTTCAAGCGGGTCTCTTCATCCTCTGTTACCATCACACTCATGCCGACCTTCTCGCGCAAACCTAGAAAGCCCAGAGCACGCATCAAGACTGGCGGTATGTGGAACGATGAAGAGAGACAGCGCTTCTGGGATCAGCGAACAATGTACAGTCACATGCCCTGGAAGGAATTTCGCAAGGTGTGCATAGATTGTTCCTTCCCCTTTATTTATCATTGACTCCCTCTACCTACGGTGGCATACTTACACTCTACGCAGCAGTTCTTCCCCCATAGAAGCCAAAACGCCCTAGAAAAGGCCTATTCCGTATGTCTTATTTGCCCCTACTGCCAGGATTTGTCTGACTTCATAATAGATTATGAGTATACAAAGAAGACGAGAAGCCAACATTGTAAGTTTAGCCTATTCCACCTCTATATTGATAGCTGCCATACTGATCTCAAAGTCAAACCCTGATACCCCTCGGGACCCTCCTCCAGCCCGCATTGTAACGCTACGAACTAGAACCAATAAGCGTGCACTACCTGACGAAATGGCGCCTGGGAACCGCCCAGAGAAGCAGACCAGAACAGCTGCGGTCCTTTCGTCGGGAAAGGACCAAGTGGAAGAAACGGATCAAAATAATATGACAGACGAGGATACCTCTTCGGACTACGAACAAGACTCCGATGAAGAGACACTTCAGGGGCCCAGTCTACCATGTGAAAGAGAAGGTCTAGATGGGATCGAGACGATCATTATTGATGATACGAACAATGCTCCTGTAAGCCGCCAAAGCGGCGAAGAAGAAGCAGGAGTAGGCAGACCTGATGCCCAGGGAGATACTGATATGCCTGACTCTCGCCCTAACGGAAGTGTAAGATACACATGCTCACCAGCCTTGCGTCAAGCCAAGCTAACTGACACATTTCAGACGCCCGTATCCAGCAATAAAACCCCTCCTGCAGGCCCCATCCCTGGACGAACAAGCATGACACCAAGTTCAAGAAGTGGAGATAACCACCAAGGCCATCAGAGAATTACAAAAGAGGCGACTGAGCCTACTAGGCCTTCCCTTCCATCGGACGTACAATATCTCAAAAACCTCATATGGAGGTTTGAAACTACATTCTTCAAAAACTATGATCAGGAGAAAGTTATCGCCTCGCTGCAATGTCAGGTTGAAGATCTCAAAAAGATCAATTCAGAAAAGACCGCCAAGCTGGAGTCCGCACAAGAGGCGAGTAGGAGACATACCCAGACTATCAAATCCCTTGAACAACGTGAGCAGAAGTATAAAAAGGAGATTAATGACTTGAAAAACAAGCTCGTACTTTCTGACCAGCGAGCTACGGTCCTCGAGCGCAAGGTAGCTGTGGCTCGAAGCATGAACAAATGTGAAACGTGTGAGAGGGTCAACAAGATGACCGCAGCGAAGGCCGCTGAGTCTTCCAGTGAGTCAATTCTATGATCGTATTCAGTTTGGATGTTTCGATATATATTCGGGTCTTTTATTTTTCTTTTCTTTTCTCACATCGCTATGGGTCTCTATCCATGCATGGTCTCACCTTTTACTTTAGCATTCACACGAACTTTTAGCATTCGATATATAGGTCTACATATATAATATTACCACGCCCCCTTTTCTCCTTACAATTAGCTTAGGAGGCTCCTAGCTAGTAGTAGCTCTGTAATTCCCACGACAATTGCTCCCTATACTGGAAAAATTATCTGCCAAGATCCGATCCACCATGCCTAGAGGGGCGCAGAACGCCCAGTGATAGTATTTCATACGTTAGTACAGCCACTGCCAGTCGTGGACTCTTAACACATCCCCTGTGATCCCCTGACATTCTCCCTCTGCCTACAGCCATTTATTCAGGTTCCAATACTTATCAACTTTTAGTACAACATCGACAAAGTCCCATACCGAAGTAAACTCATTCACAAAGCGGGATGCTCGAAAAGATATCCAAAAACAACTGCGCCTGCTCTGACTCTTCGTGCCGACTACATTGGTTAAGAAATTCCTCTGTTGGGAGCTTGATATGTTGGAAAATAAATTCGGTAGTCAATGTGTCTAACGGGTTACTTGTATCCTCCTGTGGCTGATTGACTACAGGTATGTTAGTACGCAATAGTCTTCATAAGGTGTTCAAAGGGAGAGTTAGCATACCCAGGGCGTCGAACACCACAAGTAACCTTTGAATACAGTAATCCGCCTTCTGGTTCACGATGCTTCCTCTACTGATATTTCTCATGGTGGAGAGACATGCTTCTATTTCCTGGCGGATCTGGGTTGGCGTCGGCTCGGAATCTAAGGTGTTTTGCTGGCGGATGAGGAATAGTGCTAGGCAGTGGAGGATGGTTGTGAATACTAGAGATATTTTAGCACGTTGGTTCACAGGCGAGAATCTTCTGGGAAGACAAACTTGTATAGTTGCATGTATACCATGATGCATATATGTCTATAAATCCTTGGAGGGTGGAAATGTGTGATATTAAACCCTGCACTTCTTGTAATGCCAACCAGTCATCCCAAAGGATCTGGGAGCAACTGCGCTGAATAGTTTCCCGAGTACGGTTTCCAAGCAATTTCATTGAGTCAGGCTCTAAGATTCTCATCAGTAGAGGGAAGTTCATGGTCAATTTCAACCTATGGTATTGTATGCATAGGAGTACTCGTACGGCCCAGCGATAATCTAGGACCGCTGATTGTTTTAGTAACTCTTCACTCGGGAGCAGGGAAATGCACTCAGGAAGACTGTCGGCCCATTGTTCGAGGTGGAAGTGTAGGTTGTCACGCTTGTCAATAATTGTCTGTATATTGAGAGGATGGCCCGAGTCCAAATTTTGATCGTACAATGTTTCGATTATGCCGTCCAGTGTTGTGTTAGAGGATCTTAATGAGGTAAGCATGTGTAGCTTTATATCCTTTGGGGTGAACAGACGTCATATGAAACAGATAAAGGGAGTTTATATTCCCCAGTATTGCGGGCTGTTTCAATTCGCAGGTCTTCCCAATGAAGTAAGGTAAAAGAAATGGTCTCCCTTGGGTCAACCCCATAATCCTACTAAGGTCAAATCTGCTGTTTCACCAAACATGGTAGTCACAAGTGTGAAGGAGAACAAAGCTGCTTATGTCCTGAAGGAAATAAAAGTAATATCAACCTACCTATCATTATACACAATTCCCAACCACAATCTTCGATGCAGACTGTCAGGTGTGTGTCCATGAGCATCCCGAACAGAGGCACAATGAAAGCCCATCTGCAATGCCGCTCTAACGCAGTTTGTATGGGTCGTATAACTCAATGTAGACCTCTGATGATTCTGCTCGTAAAGAGACTTTAGCAGTAATGTCTGTACTTTATTACTGTTAACTCAGGTAAAGCATTGGAAAGGCATGGGTGACTCACCTAGTTCAAAAGTTGGTCTCTCCAGTGCTTGCTGGTTGAGAAGACCTGCGCAATGACTGTAAAATACCTCTGCCCCCGGAAGCTGCAAGGACGCAGATGCATGTGCCCAAACCACATTCAGAAGAGCCAAAAAGCCCCTTTGGAACCTTGGGGGTCTTTCAAGAAGAGCTTTCTCATAGATGTCTAACAAAGTCCCACAGTTGACATATGGAAGAATGGCACCGATTGTTGTGGAAAAGCGACCAATAAGATACAGTACGTCATCCCTAGACGGAAGGGCGTGTATATCTTTCAGAGATACTGAGAATTTCTTTACCAATGATAGTTTCTCCCTCGCGGATTTCGGGTTTTCTTCCGATAGGCTGCAGCTTTGAAGAGTCGTAGATGCATGACTGCTTAGCGTGAGGTGTAGGAGAGCGCTTTCTGCGAATGCGTTTGAGATGTGTCTAAACATGGCGTAGTTTGAACTAGACCCTACCTCAGACAATTAGGTTGGCCAGCTGTCACGCTCGAAGGCTACCTACCAAAGTAGACATGGCCAAGAGACGTCTCAGAGAATGCATGTGTGGCAAGCTCATCAACGCTTGTGTCTTCGCTCAATGTTTTTACCACTGATGAACCTGGTGAATGTGTTTGCGATCCAGTTCTGAGACTGACTTTATCCTCCAGCATCTCAATCCGGTGAGCTAAGTCATGCCGGTCTCTATAGAACAAAATCAGCATCCATCTATCTCCGGGATCTCACGCAGCTTGACCTCTTAGCCTTTGGACGTCGAATGTCAGACTCTGTAGGCTGCTGATACTTGCATTCTCTCCTCCTATGCTGACATCGCGCACACACCGGCCTTGTTCCCTCACACTATTGATGTCAGTGCTGTGTAATCGAAGTTAGCTGTCTCAGTGTGGATGCACTAGTAAACACCTTTAGCTTCCTGTATCGGCATTCCGAACAGGCAACCTCAGTTCGTCGCCTGCGATGTGGGCGACCTGACATGGTAGCAGTTTTCCCGGACGATTGCATTCAGATTAGTGAGGGATCGAAGCAAGCATTCTCATCTCAACAATAGTTTAGTGTCCTGTATAATGCGGGGAAACTCTCCACCCGGGTCTCGTTCACCTCCTCTGGACCAATCGGATTTGCGCTTCCCGAGCGTAGCCGAAGGTGTCCCCATCGGGCTGTAAGACATGAAAGAGTATCACAATAATTTGTATTATGGCTCAGACCTGCAGCTAGAAAAATATACTCGGGCATAAGATCTCGGTTATACATATTGATGAGCTATGACACTGCTTCGATGTTGTCGGATAGACGAATAATATATAAACCCGGCAGAAGCACAGCATGGTGTAAATCAAACAATCGCTACTAGTACTACTTTCCTCCTACTCTTAAAATACAAAAATAAACAAACCACACAGTTTGAAAATGACCATCCTCATACATACCCTTACATCTACTCCCATGACCAGCGCTGGTATCTTCCTAGCGCTCACTCTCACTATTTACTCTATCTACTACCAACGATACCTACACCCCCTTGCCAAATACCCCGGTCCATTCCTAGCATGCCTTACCGACCTCTGGCAGGCCTACCAGTTCCTGACTCTCAAGCAACCATACAACCTAACAGCGCTCCATGCCAAGTATGGTCCAATTGTCCGGTACGGGCCAGACAAACTCAGCATCACCCACGAAGGCGCTATTCAAGCAATCTTCCAGAAGGGTGGAAGAGGAATGCCAAAGACGGAATTCTATGATGCATACGGTGCAGCTCATCCGAATGTATTCGGTATGCGAAATGAAGAAGTGAGTCTGGCTCATGCTCTACTATAACAATTGCCGGAAGAGATTTCTAAATAAAAATAGCAACACTCCATCCGCAGACGCCACATGTCCCACGGGTTCTCGATGAGCTATGTGAAAGAGATGGAACAATACTTGGACATGAATATCCGAATTCTAAGAAATAAGATCAGAGAGCATAGTGCTCAGAACAGGGCATTCGACCTGAAAAAGGCCCTGCATTATTACGTGATCGACGTCCTTGGTGAGCTGGCCTTCAGTCAATCATTCGGGGTCCAGGAGACGGATGATGAGACCCGAGTCCCGCCAGTCATCGAACATAGTCTGCTTGCTGCTGTTACTGGTGCCTGGCCTGCTATGACAGCAACACTGAAGAAGTATCTTCCACTTGTTCCATACAAGCCCCTTCAACAGCTCTTTGCTGGCCGCAAAGCCTGTGCGGATCTCGCGTCGGAGTGTGTTCGACGTAGGTTGGGGGATTTTGGTGGAGATAGGATGTCCAAAAGCGACGATAGGAAGGACGTCCTAACAAATCTGATTTTGGCTAAGCATCCTGATACTGGTGAGCATCTTACACAGACGGATCTTGAGACTGAGGCTTTTGGGTTTATGTACGTCTCTATTTCGTTATTTTCCCTAGTCCTTACGATGTGTCGGTCACCAGATGCTAAAGACTTTTACAGTATTGCAGGAACACACACTACAAGTGCCACGACAACTCTCTTGTTTTACCACCTGCTTCATAACCCCCAGTATATGGAGGAGTGCGTAAAGGAGATCGAAGCCAATCTGCCTCCTCTTACACACGGAGAGACAGCCTATTCTGTATCCGCTGCAGAGGCCGCCCTACCGTTCTTGCGCAACTGCATAAGGGAGAATTTCCGGATTACGCCGGTCTTCACGATGCCTCTAGCTCGGAGAGTGATGATTTCAACGGGTGTTATGATAGAAGGACAGCATATACCACAAGGGGTAAGTCATTTAATAGACTAAAACTACGATGCTGAATGTAATACTAATAATTACGCAACCAACTCGCAGACATCAATCGCTGTCTGCAATCATGCATTCCATCACAACCCTGACGTCTGGGGTGACGATCACAACATCTTCGATCCATACCGATGGGAGAACCCCGAGATTGCCGCCAAGGCACGGCTATTAATGCATTTTGGCTTGGGTGGACGTCAATGTATTGGGAAGACCATTGCAATGACGAATATTAATAAGCTGATGAGCACATTGTTGAGGGAGTTCACTTTTGAACTTGCTGACAAGCAGGCTCAGGAGAAGTGCTTATCAAGCGGGAACATTCCAGAATTGATTAGCGTTGGAATTAGCGATCTAAAGGAGCCCTTGATGGTCAGAGCGCATGTGCGGCTGCATGAGAAAGTTTAGCGAGAACATGATTGTGAAATCCCCGGGCCCATAATTCCTCACAACCAATAAACAATGTCCCGCAGAGGTTGTAGATGTACTTACTTTTCGGGACACGCGTCGAGCACAATTGCAATCCACTGTGGCGTTCTGCTAGACTCCAACTGAATATTTTCGTAAATTATTCTCTAAGAGTACTATGTGTTAAGTCTTCATCGGGTGAGGATGGCAACCGTACGTCGGAATTTCCGAGGAATACGAGCGCGGATGGCCTAGCGCATTGGCGCAATAAGAACCGCGGTCTGATACCTGCTTAGAAAGCTATTACCACGCATCCCTACCCAGCATCATGGCAAATCAGACGTGAGCTTGCCGTAGGGTCCGGGGGGTCGGCAATTCGCTGCGGGGAAATTAGCTTGGCGGGTGTGAAGATCCGGGGTACATGTCGGCTAAATATTTAGGCCCTCTTCTATATTAAGAGAGTTGGTTTGGGGCTCAGGCAGGGGGTCATGATGTCCTTAACTCGGGTGTATCCTCTTGACCGATTCTCGTTCACAGCATAGCAAGATGGAAAAGCCCGGCGTTCAGCATGTTGAGAATGAAAATGGTGATGAGAACCTCGCCGTCAAAAGAAGGGATGACCATGATTTAGAGGCGTCCAATGCGTCTCATGGTAAAGATATTGAAGAAAATGACTCAGATGCTTTGACGGAAGATCATTGTCAATATCTGATTCAGAGATATGGAACAGTAGAGCTGGATCCTATCCCGGACATGACTGACGCTGATCCCTATAATTGGCCGACATGGAAGGTAAGTTCTCCTTTATGCCAAGACAAATTCCAGAAATTGTTATTGACAGACCATCGGTGTAGAAAGTCATCAACTTGGCTCTAGTTGCATTCCACGCTATGATGGCAACTTTTTCAGCGTCTTCAATCCAATCCGCCTTCGTTGAGATAGCAGAGGACCTTGGAGTCAGTGTACAAAGAGCAAGCTACTTAACTTCCCTAGTCATTGCCATTCTCGGGGGTGCGCCTCTTTTCTGGATGCCATTGTCCAACCGCTATGGTCGACGTCCTATATTCCTGCTTTCGCTGCTCTGCAGTCTGGTTGCTAATGTGGGCTGCGCTAAAAGTCCGTCATATGCGACTATGGGATTTTGCCGGGCCCTTGTTGCCTTTTTTATAAGTCCTGCCGCTGCTATTGGTAGTGCTGTCGTCGCCGAGACCTTTTTCAAGAAAGACCGCGCAAGATGTATGGGCGTATGGGCCGTCATGGTGACTTTGGGTGTCCCGCTTGCACCTCTGCTTTTTGGGTTCGTTACGAGTCGAGTGGGATACCGGTGGATCTACTGGATATTGGCTATCGTGAGTATGAGCGTCATCAGAACAGGAGAGAGATGCTAATCATACCAGACCAACGGTGTTCAGTTCATCACATATTTGATCTTCGGCCAAGAAACTCTATACATCCGTGGTAGCGCTGCTAGTCACGTCAGTAACCCAACCCTTCGGCAACGATTCCTTGATGTGAGGCGTATTGATCCAACGCCATTGAAACTATGGGACTTTCTACGCCCCCTCAGCATGGCAATACGGCCCTGTGTTATGATTCCAGCCGCCGCATATGCGATGATATTCCTTCTCGGTGGTATCCTCCCTTCAATTGAGATGCCGCAACTCTTCCCCGAGATGTTCGGACTTGACTCGGAGCAGGTAGGCCTGCAGTTTATCGCGATGATTATCGGCTCTCTGCTTGGCGATCAGGTTGGGGGATTCTTATCCGACCGTTGGATGCTGTACGGGCGAAAGAAAACGCAGCGGCCCGTTGCACCAGAATTCAGACTCTGGATTAGCTATCCAGGAATTGTTCTGACGATAGTTGGCATCGTTATCTTCCTTGTCCAGCTAGATCATGCTTCATCGCGGTGGAATATCACTCCGCTGGTCGGGGTCACCATTGCGTCTATTGGAAACCAAATCGTCACTACCGTCAGCTTCACGTATGCTGTGGATTGTTATCGATCAGAAGCAGCGAGCGTTGGTGTATTTATCACGTTGGTGCGACAGACGTGGGGATTCATAGGACCATTCTGGTAAGTCTTCTGTGTTCGAGAGGTGTGGGTATACTGACAGTAGTCCAGGTTTCCGCAAATGCTGAAGAATGTTGGGTATCTAGGGAGTACGGGGATTGCGATTGCCTTGATCGTAGCTGTTAGTGCCATTCCAATGGCTCTGTTGCATTGGAAGGGGAAGGCTTGGAGGTAGAAAAACATGATAGCTAATGGCTTATCTCATCGTAAGTCCCGCTGGTTACTCATCCAGCCTCATATTTCGTTCAGTTTACCCATTAGCAACTGTCAAATATCCTGACGCATCACTTGAGCAATTGCTGGATATATATAGTTTTCAGTCAATTAATTTGATGTGAGCTAGTACTTGCTACTATAAGCCTGGGGGGGGGGAAAGGCGAGCGCCTTATGGCTTGCAAGCACCGGGAATGTTTGATATCCAAGTGTATGACCATTGCCAGTGGGCCCCTTTTGAAATAAGGACCTAAATTGGATCATCTGTAGCTAGTAGTTAAAGAATCTCCTCTCAAGACTATTTTGAAGGATCATCAAACCTCTATGATAAACTCTATCTTGCATACTAAGCATATCTTAGTTCCTAGTGTTAATAGTTATGGATATGGCAGATTTCCTATGCGTTCGTGATGAAAGCACTGATTATCGGAGAAACATTAACGCGAGTTCACCCCCAACCAAGGCGCTAGTAGGCTTTGTTAATGGCTGTTCATTGAGATACTCGCAATAGTGTTCTGGACCTAGATGGTGGGCCCAGGTGGCGTTCTTATTGAAGCAAATGGCGCTAGCATATTCACGAAGATATGTTGACAATCCACAACTTTTCACTTGAACTATACAAATGCTCCCACACAACTAACATTCGAAATTTATGCTAAATGATACCTTGATACTAAAGTAGTAGCATATAAGTTCCTCCAAAGCTCTATTGCGTTGCTATAGTTGTCTCGTAACATCTTCGAAGCCCTAGTATTATGACTACTTGACTGATAGAGAAGTATATATGCTTGTAGGGTCTATAAGTTGTACTACCTTCCATCATTGGTGTTACTCGCTTATTCTCCATGCAATCCATTGGCAGGGAATCGATAGCTATCCTTGGGTTCCACAAGACTAAGCCATGATCGCTTCGTTTGCTCATAAATGGAGAAAGCCGTGAATTGACTGATCTGTTACCCTGTTTGCTCCTCTCTTTTGCAACCTCTCAAAAAGGCCCCGCTCCCGGGTCTCCCTTTTTCTATATCACCTTTTCGCCTCTTCCGTCTTCCTTCCTTCTCCACACTCCCTACTTTGTATTACGACTCTGGTGGTAATTATTTGTAGACAACTAGGCTGACAGATCCCACGCAACGTGCCATCGATAGGTAAGTGCCATATTCTTTTCTTGCAAAAGATCTTCTCATCAATTTTGTTCCTTCTTGCTGGCTCATCTATGTTGTATATCGAACGCGTCCACGCGTTGTTATCGAGTGGATTGAACTGCAAGCTGACTGACAACCCCAGTGCACCGATACCCATCTAGCTTCCATCAATTACAGACTCTGTTCTCAAGATGGCTGGCTGGACGCTCGAAGGGGATGGAGATGACAATGGTACCTGGGGTGGTGGCAATGACGCTGGTACGTGTCCTCTTGGAAACGAGTCCCTTTCCCCAAGGATAGCATGTTCTCAATCATGTTCCACCAAATCATGAAGTTTCACGACATTAAGAGATAAGACAGGTTTCAGTAATGATGAGAACGCTAGACCTGGTGGCTTCGGCACTGAACCCGGATACGGTGGTGATGACTTTGCTCCTGCGGCTGAAGGCCATGGCGATGATAATCGGTGCCGGAAGTAAGTAGCTGCTTCCTACAGATCCTCAATGTCGCTAACAGAAGATAGCTGTGGAAGCGACGGTCACTTTGCTCGCAACTGTCCCGAACCGCGCAAGGACATGGCATGCTTCAATTGCGGTGAGGACGGGTATAACCTTCCATGAACCTTTCCAATACATTCCCTGGTCTGACATGAACTAGACATAATAAGTCTGAGTGCACTAAGCCTCGTATTTTCAAGGGTGCTTGCCGTATCTGCAACAAGGAAGGACATCCAGCCGCTGAATGCCCTGAAAAGGCTCCCGACGTGTGCAAGAATTGCAAGATGGAAGGTATAACACGCCGCATGTTCTAATAGGATGCATGCGCTAACGATTTGTGAAGGCCACAAGACTATGGACTGCAAGGAAAACCGTCGGTTTGATCTGAACCACATACCTGACAAGCTCCCCGAGGAGGCTTGGGCCATTCTGAAGAAAGCCAGTGACGAAAGAGATCTCGAAGATTTCCGTGAGGTAGGAAGCACTTACTTGCTACTATTTCCAGTTCTCATTACAGATGCGACCGTGTGCTCGTTCACAAGTACTAACGTTGCACAGGGACTTAAGGTGTACTCCAAGTCTCTTCCGCAGGCCACTTTCGTTGACATCGAAAACAAATTGCGTGAAGAGGACCTTAACTTCTACCTTATTGCACTGGTAAGACAGAACATTCGTCTTCCCTGCACGCTGAAGCATTAAGAAGCACGCACACTGACTTTATGGCACCCTCTAGGACAAGGAGGTTAATGATTGCATCAGCCTTATTGATCTTCAGGGGAAGCTGAACTGCACATACGTGGTCGGCTTTTTCTATAGCCCTAAGCCGCAGCGCGCCAACCTCAGAGAACGCTGGCCGTCTTCCGTCGAGGAAAATCTTGAACGTCTTGCTGACGCCGGTCTGCCTTACGATCGACAGGTCCCCAAGTGCAACAATTGCGGCGGTAGGCTACAAATTGTGACTCCATCTGTTTATATATGCTAACGGCTTGTAGCATTGGGACACACTTCTCGTGGCTGCAAGGAGGAGCGAGAGGAACGTGAGCGTGTCGGCGTTAAATGCGTCAACTGCAGTGCTGATGGACATCGTGCTCGCGATTGCCCTGAGCCACGTCGCAATGTTTTTGCTTGTCGTAACTGCGGGTAAGCTCACTTTACAAGACTTGAGGGTACTTTACTGACGATAGCAAGCTCGGAGGACCACAAGGCATCAGAATGCCCCAACCCTCGCTCTGCGGAGAACGTTGAATGCAAGCGATGCAACGAGAGTTAGTCTCCAATATGTCAGTTCCTCGTTTGCAACATACTGACTGTATAATCTAGTGGGTCATTTCGCGAAGGATTGTCCTCAGAAACCGCCTCCCAGGACCTGCCGCAACTGCGGGTAAGTTTGAATGAGCTATTCCACTGATTCATTGACGTCTCCTAACGAAGTAGATCCGAGGATCACGTTGCGAAAGAATGTGACAAGCCGCGCGATGTCTCTACTGTTACCTGCCGTAACTGTGATGAGGGTAAATCCCGAAGACATTACCCCAGATCTCTACCGTCCAGACTGCTAATACTCAGTTACAGTCGGACACTTCAGTCGTGACTGCCCCAAGAAGCGAGACTATTCTCGCGTCAAGTGCAACAACTGTGGTGAAAGTAAGGACTTTCCCCAAGTAAACAACGTATCTACAAAGCACTCTCTAACCTAAATCTACCCGTCTACAGTGGGCCATACTATCAAGCGTTGTCCTACCGCCAATGCCACTGAGGACGCCCCACACGGCGACAGCCATAGCTTCAACGCGCCTGTCAACGACGAGTGGAATGAAAACGGAGGAACTCAGTGGAACGACAATGGGGGAACTGAGTGGAACGACAACGGCGGAACTCAACAGGACAGCGCCCCGGCCGAGGAAGGTGAATGGAATGTTGGTTCCGCTCCTGGTTGGTAGAAGAAGGATACGGAAAGCAAAGTCGACCAACGCATGGTGCATAAGACGTCAGTCACTATCGTCTGGAACGATGTCTGACACCTTTGTACGGGTGTTACTCAGTCGCTTTCATGCCTATCTCTCTTCTCGGACAGCAACCAGTTGGCCTTCTATGGTGGGTGATATCTGTGGAGGGTCCTAGCTTCGATGTGTGTTCATACCGGCTGGTTCGGGTAATCTCCCCTCGCTATTTTCTTTCCTTTACTTGCAGAAATTGCTCGGAAGACGGAACCGTTCCTGCTTGTCTTTGCTTGATGAGCGGAGGGATCTGTCAGGCCGTTTGACCTGTAGGGTAGTTTGAGAAATTTGAATCAAAATACGTTGTTGCTTCCTTAGTGTGCTGTGAACTTAGATTAGATACAAATCATCTTATTAGAATCTGAAGCTAAGTTTCCCATCATACATACACAACATTCACATTAACTCATATCCATAATGAACCTCACATCAAACATTGAACAATAGTCCCGAAATAGTAAAACCAACTGCCCACAAAGGATACGATTACACATTAAATATCCCCACCATTAACCACCCTACCTTCTAACCCTCGTCCACCACATCACAACCTTCTCCCAAGCCCCCAATCTCCACCTCCACCTCCTCCCCCAAAAGACATAATAAACCAACACAGCAACCCCCAAATTAAACCCCACAAAAGCCCATCCCACGCCAAAATCCATCCACCTCCGATCAAACCGATACTCCCGCTCCGCGAGGAACTGATCCGCAACCGAGTACGGACAATACTCACAACTCGTCATCGCATCGGGATTCATCAACCGCCCGGGCACCGTCTTCAGATAACCACCCAGATACTCAACACAAGTCTGTCCTGAAGGCGGATCAAACACCGCCATCTCTGCAGCGCTGCAATTAACCGCCACGCCATGGAGCTGGGTAGAAGTTACGCCGGCGACGAAGTACGTGAATGGGGAGACGCGGTACATGAACATCCAGAAGCCGGGGAGAGCGTGGGGTGGTTGCATGACGCCGTTGAAGGTGAGGGCCATGAATGTGCAGATGGCTAGTATGAGGGTTGAGGTGGAGATGGTGAGGAGGGCGAAGGAGATAGCGTAGATGAAGAATTGGATGAAGAAGAGGAGGACGAGGCCTTGGCGGGGGGATGATTGGGTGGTGGTGTTTGAGATGGGGTAGTAGTAGATTGCCCAGATGCAGATGCTGAGGGGGATTTGGTAGAGGAGTTCAGTCAGGATGAGGGATAGGATGAGGATTCTGCTAGAGTAGGTTTTGGTGAGGCGTTCGCGAGTTTGGTACATTGTGTGGTTTTTGGTGAGGAGGGGGAGGGTTTGGTGGACGATCGGGATGAAGAGAGTGCAGATCATGAATGCGGAGAAGATGGTTTCTTGGAGGCCGCTGATTGAGGTGCCGTGTTTGTAGAGGGAGAAGTTGATGATGAGGGCGGCGCTTATTTGGAGGAGGATTCTTGATAGGATGGAGAGGTGTGAGCGCCAGTATTGTTGGAGGGTTCGGCGGAAGACGATGGGGAATTGGAGGTGTAGAGGTGTGGCGAACTTGTTGTCGTCTGTTGGGTTGTTGTTCTGCGTGTGAACACTCGCGAATTCTTCGTGGATGGGGTCAACTTGGTTGTTTTTGGCCCAGATATCGGACCAGGCCTCCCCGTGTTTGTTAGTGGTGGTAGAGAGAATCTCGATTATGTATTCGGCAGGATCTTCGTCTTGTCTGACGGTCCGGGAGGCACCGTTGGATTCGAGATAGTCCAGCAAAGGCTGCGCATTGTCGCCGGTGGATCCGAAGTATACAGTTCTACCCTCGTTGGAGAGGAAGAGGAGCTGGTCTACTTGCTTGAATGCCATCATGCTGGGTTGCAGCGTACAGAGTATCGTCTGTCCGGTGTCTGTCAACTTCTGGAGAATACGGTATATTGCGCGTGAGCTTTGCACGTCGAGACCGCTGTTAAACATTAGCTCCTGCTCTATACAAGAAATGCCAATTGCAAAACTTACCTGACAGGCTCTTCCACTAACAGAATCTCTGGTCTCGCAGCCAATTCCACTCCTATACTTAAGATCCTCCGCTGCTTGACGTTCAAGCCTTCTCCAACCACTCCAACGACAGAGTCGGCATAGTCCTCCATTTCTAGCGCCTTGATTATTTGCTCAACATACGTGTGTTTGTCCTCCTTGGAGACGGAGTGTGGTTGTCGTAGCACTGCGCTAAACCGCAAAGCCTCGCGAACAGTCGCCGTTTCCAAATGGATATCCTGTTGTTCAACATAACCTATCTTCCGCTGGAAATTCGAGCTCAGAAGGCAGTTGTTGAAGAGTATGTCTCCACTAACAGTACCTGTTGTGAAACGCTGCGCTAGCACCTTCAGTAGTTCAGACTCCTGGACACTGTTATGACTCATCAACGCCGTGATCGTTCCTGACTTTGCCCAGCCAGTTACCTGGTCCAGAATCCGATGGTTTCCACTGTTTGTGTGGATTTCGCATATCACATCGCGCCAGCTCAAGTCATTGCGCTGAGGTTCAATGAAACCGAAATCATTCTGTCTCGCATTGCCAGTGGTATCTTGGTCTGGAGTCACCGAATCTTTTCCAGCTTCTTCGTCCTGTTTGCGATGCTCTTCGTGCCTGAGGTAAGCCGATTTGCTTCCGAAATGAATAGTTGAATGTGCAATGAACTCCGTCGCAACGAAATAAAGACCCATCCAACCGACCAGGAAAATAAAAAGAATACCAAAGTTTCTCCACACATGGTCGTAGGTATACTTGTAGGTCTGCCAGATATAGTCGTCACCACTAACAGTACGACGGCCAGCAACAGCTCCCACGGCTGCGCAGATATATGCATTCGTCTGGAGGTTGGGCTGAGAGGGTACGAATTCAGCACATCCAAACTCCCGACCGTGGAACTCGTTGGCGACTAGGGCTTCATAAGCGTAATAGATGGGATTGATATCATGGACAAATTCGAACCAATGAGGCATTCGAGGCTCCAGGATAATGAAGCCCGTAAATATGAAAACCCAAAGTACCAGCATCCCAGCGAGGGCTTGTACTTGCACAAGTGTCTTCGTCACTGCTGCCGTCATCCGGAAGGCTGCATTAGCCACATGGATCAACACGAAGTTGATCAGGAAGCATATGAAGAATTGCGAAGGTTCGCGGCGAAGGTTGCTCATGAAGTATATGACAATAGTGTTCACAAGGACGAGAAGAAAATTCTTGGGGATTTCACTCAATAAAATGGCGAGTGATTCGGCCATGGGGTAATAGAAGCCAAATGAGGCATGCTTTTCCACCACCGGACGCTGGGAAAGTTGACTGCTCAACTTTTTTAGTGGCAGGAAGGAGTTGAGCATCACTAGGTAGAAAAGCACGGAACCCTTCGAGAAGAATCCAGCGGTCGTTGCAGGTGTATTGTAAAACATTGAGCCGATCAGCAGGGCTATAATGAAGTTCACTGTGATCTTGCATGCTGCTGAAGCACGTTCGTTCCAAGCTCGCTGAAAAGCGCGAATGGTAGTGAGTCTTACTTGCAGCATTATACCGGGATATTGCGAACCAAACTGCGTCTTTCCTAGCTGTTTCTGTTCTTCATCCAGCTTAGGGTCGAGCAGGCGTTCTCTTGAGTGAGAACCCGCAATCTGCTTATGACCACCCATCTCCCTTTGTAGCTCTTGATGCTCTGGGGACTGGCACCAGTACGTCTCAAAATCTCTCGGGGTTCGGGGAACTCTGTTCTCCATACCCCGACGTGGCTGCCTCTCCGTTGAATTGGTAATTGAAGTTAGGAATTCGGCAGTACTCTGGTGTGGATGGCAATACCACCCTTGGCGCTCGAAAAAGCCCTTAGCCTCAGAAGAAGAGCCGATGAATATCTGGTGGCCTTCGTACAACAACAGAGTTCTGTCAAATAGATCATACATTGCTTCGCTAGCTTCATAGGCGGCCACAACATGGGAAGATGAACCCAAATCTGCTGCCAGCCGCAAAGACTGCACAAACTTCAATGCCTCTGTTGAAGCTAGGCCCTGAGTTGACTTGTCCCATGCAGCTAAAGATGCTCCCGACAGGATTATCTCGGCAATACTAATTCGCTTGCGCTCACCCTCTGTCACGTCTTTGACTTTAGTGCTATACGTGTGACTCAGGCCGAATACGGCTACAACAACTTTCGTTATAGCTTTTGCATATTCTGTCCGTGTTATTCCCTGAAGTCTTTCGGTGGGAGCTCGAATTGATGCTGCGAACTCCAAAGTCTGGCCAACTGTCAAATATGGAAAGTGTTTGTCGGTTCCGCAGTTGTAAAGACTTGCTCTCTTGACATTCTCCAGTGTCTGTTGGTGTGAAATGCCATGGTAATGGAAGACCGATTCAGGATCTAGCTTCAAGCCATCAAGCTTCCCACACAATGTTTTTGCGACCGTACTGCACCCTGCTTCAGGTCGTCCTAAGATAAGCAGCAGTTCCCCATTGCTTATGACGCCGTTTAGATTCCGTACGATACTCTTGGGGGATTTCCGGCCCAGACTGAATATATCTCGCGGCCGCAGTAGGGCAGAGAAGACGCCCAGAGCCGTCAATTTACGAGCCTCGGGCCTAAGTCCTAGAACATGCAGGTTTTGAAATGTCGTTGCCGATAGGTCGTTATGTGTGCCCCGATTAAGCATGCACATCATCTTTCTGAGCCACCTGTATAAACTGAAATCTCGGCTCTCTGGGTTAAGATACGGCTCGCCCGGGGAGACATTGGTCAATTGAGTGACACGAGCAACAACTTGATCATTTGCAAGCTTGGTGAGATGTAGTTTTTCGGTTGGATCCAAGGCAGCGCAAGTCTTTGTACGTATTAAGGTCTTGCTATTCTTTTCGTCTCCCATTGCGGATTGTTTTCCTGATAGAGATCCAGCTTCGGATGTCGAATTTCCCTCATCAACCGCAATGCTGTCATGATGGCTTATGTCGCATGAAACCTCTTTCTCTTCTACTGTGTGCACCACTTCCGAGGACGAAGCGGGCGCAGTATGTTGAAGAAGAGGATCTTCTTCAACTGCTTTTCCTGAAGCCGCATCTTCCTCCGTTACTCCTTGGTCAGCCACTATCGCAGGACTAATAGACACACTTTGGTCCATATGCCTAGCAGTCGCATAAGTATCGTCTTCTTTGGCTTCTCGAGAGTCGGTTATCCCACTTTCCATCTCTTGCTCCTTCACTGCGGGTGCGATGGTTAGTGGGAACGACGTAGGTTCCGCGTGTGATATGAGAAAGGTCCCTTTGCTTCTTTCGCTTCTTTGAGTTGTTCCATTCATCATGTTGATTCTTGTTTCCCAGAAAGCAAGATCCGGTGTCACAGTCTGAGGGGGGGACTTATCAACGTCGGCTTCGGCCCCTACGTTATCAAGGGTTTCTGTAATAATCAATTCCGATGAAGCGGTCTGCGCATGAACTATCGTGTCGTTGTGGCCGTCCGTATGGTTCGTTGTGCCATTGCGGTCCTCCAATTCATTGGTCTCTATCCTAGACTCGGTATGTGATTGTATAGTGCTCTGGTTGGATGATATGGTCCCCTGTGCTTGAGGAATTTCCCGGGTGAACCGTGACGTGGACAGGAGCCCCGAGGACGTATCCTGCCCTTGAGTTGATGTTTCTTGCAATTGTCCCTCATGGATTTGCGCTTCAGCAGCCCCCTCCCTTTCAGCAACTCTGTATTCTGATGCTGCGTTTGGGTTTCCCAAATGCATATTGGCAGACGAAATAGAACTGTCTAGCATCTCAAAGTGCATAGCTCCAGCATTCTCATGAGAGGTATCCTGCCTCTGAGTTGACGTTGCTTCCGCATAATCTTCAGAGATTTGCGCTTCAGTAGCCGCCTCCCTTTGAGTGAATCCCGAGGCCGATGTAGCTTCCGAGAGCGAGTGCTGGGGGTTAGAGAAAGAGATGTTTCTTTCCATCATCTCAGACTGCATTACTTCAGCATTCTGAAAGGACGCATTATGCACTTGAGATATAACTGCCGTGCCTTCCGTATATCCACTATAACTTCGCACTTCAGAAGCCACCTCCTGGTTAGCGGCCCTCGATGCTGATGTAGCATCCAAGAACCCCAAGTTGGTGTTGTCGGAAAAGATGTTTTTTTCTGCCATCCCGGACTGCAGTGCTCCAGCATGTCCTTGAAAGAGGCCATGCTCATCTGAGTTCATAGACAATCCTTCAATATTTCCGCTATAGATTCGCGCTTCAGAAGCCACCTCCCGTTCAGTGACCCTTGATACCGATGGAGCATTCGAGAAACCAAACTGCATACTGGAGGAGGAGAAGTTTCTTTCTACCATCTCGGACTGCCTTGATTCAGCATGCTCTTCAACAGTCCTAGTAGTGGAGAAGAAGTGAGGAGATGTTGACTCTGTTTGATAGAATTGAAACTGGCTCCTATTACCATCTCCGGTCGCAATGAACTCGTGGACGGCCGCGTCTTCGACAGCGTGTGATCTGGATGAGTATTCAGAGCTCGATCGCACATGCGCGAGATTTAACTCCCTGAAAGTGTCCTCGCTGAAATTGCCGCTTCTGAAGACATCTTCCTCGCCCATCAATCGGGAACTAGAAAAGATTGTTGAAGAAGCGGACCACCCGTGGGTCGAAATAGAATCTCTCCTGGTTCCTTCCCCATCGGTATTCAATTCGTTCTCGTCTCTGCCGGCCATGGTGTACTCATATAATCACCATTCGTCTCCGCAATGATGGTTACGAACTAGATCTTCGGCAAGCGATCGGATTAGTCCAGAATACGGAAGGAAACAATCATCGAAGAGTCACAAAGTGGTCAGTCTGAAACAGCTGGGGTAGAAAAGTGAACTGCTAGCCAAGATATAAACTGGGAGAATGAACTCCGGGACTCTGCCCACCTTTCAGAGAGTCTCTGCACAGACCGGAAACCATTTTGTCCGTGGTGCAGCTCAACAAACCCATTTCAGCTGGCACTCGCATAAGTCTATCAATGGACCAAAGATTAGTCTTCGGAAGAAAGAAGCAAACAAGTCATCATCAAATCCTCAGAGGTGCAGGAGCTCTGTGGTACCCACTGATCTACAAGGCAGGCTCGGGATTTTGTATGTGGACGAATAGCTAGTCCGGCACCCGGGGACGATAGTGATCCCGGCCAGATGAATAGGTTAGACATGATTTCTTTGGATGGACGCAGTGTTTAATTGATGATTGTGATAGTGATCTGGTATAGATCGATAGACATGGACTTCATTCAAGTCAAGGTCGTTGGAGAATATAGAGTGTGAGAATAGCAATGAGAGACTGCTTTCATGGCTTCAGCTGAAATAACCCGTGGGTCCAGGTGATCCCGGGAGCTGGCTCCGCCGGCTAGTGACTACCATACGGCTCGTGCTGCCCGGCGTCGATCATCCCGGGACGGTCCAATGGTTGGTTAGTGCTGAGAAAGTATGAACGAGCTCAAAGTACTGCTACAGTCGAAAACGGAATGGCAGAGAACATTGTGTTGTATTTCTATCTAAGCGCTAAGGAACAAGGCGCCCATGGAAGGGATGTTTAGTGTGCGTGTTGTGACCACGTGACCTCACATACTAGTGTTTGGTATCGCCTCAACACGGCCCCCTAAGCAAGGGAACATCTGAAAGAGATGTTGTTGAGGTCATAGTCTCTCCCTAGATAGGCAAGTCTTGGTATTTCAAGAATCGTTTTCAGGATGCCGAGCAGTGGCGGCGCCAGGAGCGGAGAGTGGAGACATCCTTAGCAGGCGCTTCACGGCACAGAGCTCGATCGCGACTCGGCAAAGAGTGAAAAAATCATCTTCTGTATAGGTGCTTGCCACGTAGACAGGCATTACATATTCCACACTTGCTACCCAGGCAGGAAAGTCAGAACGGATCTCCTTCAGCATCAAGAGCGACGCGGTAAACGGAGGTAGGCCGCACTGGAGTTTTTTGGCGAGTACGTAATTGCTTTTGAAATCTTCAACATACTGGCTCGTAGTTGAATAATCGGCACGTTTCTTCTTAACTAAATCGTACACAACGTTCTCACACCTCACAATGCCGTGCTCTAGTATGATCATCTTTATCACTTTGTATGCTTCATCGGCAAAGCCTTTCTTGTCAACAGTCAATCTAAACCTCAACAGGAGTTCATCGGATATTTGTCCAGTCAGCCACGACTGCAAGGCTTTCGAGCATTCACGCCATTTGGTGTAAGACTTGTGGTCATGTTTCGGGTGTGGAATGTCAGAGTCGACGAGGTCCTGCAATCCGACGTTCTCAAGTATCTGTCTGACCTGAAAGTCCCAGTTTGGGAAGTCGAGGGTATCTTTCAGTATAAGTGGCACGCCGGGAATGAAATCAGGTAGATCGTCGGGTATTCTGTCCGCTTGCGTGGTCACCTTTGGAGGAATTATCACCGTACGCGAGATGCCCTTCAAGGAAACCGCGCGTCCCTTCCGAGAAGCCATTAGGTTTTATGTAGATCGACTATTTGGAGCGCTGCGAGTATTAGCCTTGGATGAATGTGAGTTATTGGTGGAAGTTGGACGACGCCACTCAGCAATGGCGTGTCTCTCTTTTCAGCACCTTGGTTTCGGTGGTCATAGGCTCTATGTCTTGTTTTCCGCCAAAGCTCGTGTTCTTTCTGCTGTGGATAGCTTGATAGCGAGAAGACAGGCCTTATAACCTCTCAAAACAATGGGCAGGGACTGATGCAATTATATTTATGACAAATCTCGATGCTCAAGCTTATGTTGGTGGTTGTGGTGGTGGTGGTGGTGTGAGAGCACATAGGCAGCAGAAGTGACAAAAGATCAGGTGGTGTCTGGCTACAGTGAATGTCTCGACAGTCAACAACAGGTCCATGCGGCCCCTGCCGAAGCTAAAGCCATATACTGTATCTGAGACTATTGCTTTCACGGGCGGATCTCTTTCTGATTTTTGTGGCTCGGCTGATATACCAGATTAGCATTATTCTGAACGTAAGTCGTACTGGCATTTGGAGGTCATGGCGTTCAGCGCAGCACAAAATTGAGATTGGATTTGTATCCAATGAAATTAAGTGCCGGTGAGATCTACGTGATCTTTCATTACAATGTAGCACTGTAATCTTGCCTTCTATAATATGAATATCCGCAACCTAGTTACCGGACTTAATCAGGACTACTACTATTAGTAGTAAGATCTACAGCGGTTAACAATATCAGTATATGCCATTTGAGCGGCAACACCTCTTTCACAAATCGTGTAGGGCCGCGAATTGGCTATTGTTGCTTTTACTCAACCATCTAGAAGAAAACCTCCCAGACCATGTGGGATTTCGCTCGGAGTATATCCACCTCTGCTGCACCTTCACTCAAGGAAGGGATCTCTTCCACGTATTGTTTTACCTCTGCTCTATCATTCGCTTTCATTCGGAGGACCTGTCAAATTTCACCAGTTAGCCTTTCTTTTAGATTACAGCACTGCGGTCTCGGTCTTTACCTTTCCTTGCTGTGGATGAACCACATCAAATACCTCTTCCGCTATCGAACCTATTCCAGAAAGTCGTGAGCCATTGGTGGGCCAGAAAATAGATCAAAGTGTACTTGCGTAGACTCTATACATACCTTTCCAAAGCCTGACGCAGTGCAATGCATCCCTCTCCCCAAATCTCGCATCATATGTCGATGCATCCCTTGCGACAATAACAACATACCATGTCACACACGGGTCCGTGGTAAAAGGCTGCAGTCGTTGCACTGGCTCACAGTGCAGATACTTTCCTCCTTGGTGGAAGAGCTTCGATACCGAAGTGAAATTGCCAATAGGGATGACCTTGGCGTCTGAAAACCCATGCTTAATCCACGGCACCTCTTGTTTAATGGACTCAGCCCGTTCTGGGCTCTCAATGCCCCTCCAATGCACGACCGCTCCGTTAACCTTGTTTTCTTCGTCGGTTATGGAGGGGAAGAATCGAGTGGTCTCTCCGCTATGGGTTGAAGCCCAGGCAAATTCGGACTCTTTGCGAAGTAAGGCAAGTGGGGCGTCGTCAAGGGTCTTCCCATCTTTAAAGATGTCATAAAATAGGTAGTCCATCTTAGCAGGAGGTATAAGCTTGGGTGGCGAAGGACTGGGGTTCTAAAACGGGAATAAAGGACACGAGAGTTAGAGATACCTTGATCACGGATTATTTAGTATGTTACTTGGCCGTTTGTCAGATGGAAGTTATATTGATTTACACCTGTACTACATCCCCCGCCGCGCTCCCAACGGAATGCTATCAGAACTGGGAAGCCGGTGGGGGATCGGCAATTAGGTTTATGCTAAGCTGGCGGGGATAGATGTGTCCTGAAAGCCTAGTGGTAGATTCCAAGAATATTTCTAACATCTGAAGTTATAGATCCCGACGGGGCCGAGGGGGGCCGATGGGGAAACGACGATCATGCAGCAAGCCATCCAGAGCAGACCGTAGGTGTCAATGCGCCGATTACAGAACTCGCTGATCTTGATGCACACGAACTTACTAGAGCAAGTAAACCTCTTGAGGGATTTTGCATAGCCCACTCTGAGAGTCATCCGGAATGTGGAGATGAATTGGAACTGCATACATAAATTTCGAGTTGCCCATTCGATCTGGCTCCAAACCAGAAGCAAATTCTACATCAAGATGCACAATGGCCCTAGTTCTCCTAATGACCCAAAGGTATTGTTTACGTATCATATACAGATCCTTTCACATCAAACAATCATAGTATTAAGAACCACTAGTATTGGAGCACCCGCCTCCGCTGCGCCATCCTGATGAACATTTGCTTCTATGTCTTCATCGGAAACCTATACGCGGCAGGCCTCTCCACAGGTTTTGCTTCATTGGCCCAGGACTTCCACGTCGGATTCGACACGCTTACTGGCCTTGTCGCCTGGCCTGTATTCGCACTCGGAATTTCCAACCTCTTTTGGATGCCGACAGCAATGTGCATCGGTAAGCGGCCAGTGATCTTGATCTCCATGTTAGTCTTTCTAGCTGGATGCATATGGAGCATCAGAACAAATAGCTTCAAATCCCTACTAGCCTCCAGAATCGTGGCTTCATTTGGTGCGTAGAACCTATCATCGCTACTATCCCGTGAGCTCCCTTCATTGGTGATCTAGGGGCTGGGTCTATCGAGGCCCTTGGACCGTCTATTATCGCTGGTAAGTGAGTATGCCTTGTATGATTGATATAAAGTTGATTTACTTGTTTCTTATATATCGTTGTATCTTATAGATCTCTTCTCGGAGCGGTATTTCGCAACCGCCATGGCTCTCTTCGCCTTATCGCTTTGCGCTGGATCTCAAGTCGGCCCTATGATTGCCGGCTTCGTTATCGGTGACAAGGGCTGGAGATGGTTTTTCATCGTTTGCGCGATCCTCGGTGCAGTCAATTTCTTGACTTCAGTCCTCTTCTTGCCTGAAACAACCTTCCGGCATCGCTTTGCCGAAGACGGGGATGGCAATGCCACTGAAGTCGAAAAGAAGGTGGAACAAACTGTCGAACAGAGAGAGAACGAACCTTCTCCAAGGAATTACTGGAAGGACCTAATCTCATTTAGAGATCGCAGTCTCGAGCCTGAAGGACTGAAATGCTGGCCTGAGCAATTTTCCCTCCCGTTTCGGTTCCTTTGTGTGCCGATTGCTTTATTTGCGACGATCGCCTATGGCATTTTTCTTTCGGGGTAATTTATACTCTTTCTCTGTTCGCATCATTCAGTCTTTCTACTCATACACTTGACCATTCCAGCTGTATCCACCACTTAACCCACTACTCTTTATACTATACCAGTCAACTAACAAATACCACCCCCAGAATCGTCCTCATCTCCGCCATCAGCCCCCAATTCCTCTCAGCACCACCATACCACCTCTCCTCCTCAGCAATCGGCGTCTACACGCTCTCCTCCTTCCTCGGCATCGTAATAGGCTACCCCATCGCCGGTCCCCTAACCGACCTCCTCTCCAGATTGGTCGCCACTCACAGAAGAAACACTACCACCACTATCAACAACACCCACCACCCAAAAGACCGCATGCCCGCACTCATCGTCCCCTTTTTGATCGCACCCCCAGGCTTGATTCTCTTCGCGTACGCAATCGCAAGAGAGAAATCATTATATATCTCTGCCACCGGATACGCCATGCAAGCAGCAGCTCTTGTCTTCGTTCCATCAGTCACCATGTCTTATATCATGGATGTGTATCCGCAGTCCGGAAGCGAGGCCATGGTGCTCATCAATGCGGGTAAAAATGTCGTTGCGTTCGGGGTGACGGTCTCGGGTGCCGGTTGGGTGGGACGTGAGGGCATTGTCAGGGTTTTTTGGGAGTTGGCTGCTGTGCAGTGGGTGGTTTTGGCGTTGGTGGTGCCGTTGTATGTTTTTGATGGTGTTGTGAGGAGGTTTGCGGGGCGGTTTGTTTAGGGTTGGCGTACTTCTTGATGCTCGTGTTTTCTTTTACTTTCTTTTTTATTATTGTTCTTATTGAGTGGGCATTGGAGTTTGCTTTTACGCTGTATGGTATTTACTCAAGTTTTGTCGATATCAATCAATTTATGGTGTTTGGCAAAGCCAGTATCGTGAGTTATTTACTCCCACTCCATGAACCAGTCACAGCCTATGTTGGTTTGAATTTAGCGCCAGAGACATAGCTCAGCTGCGGGGCTAGTTCAAGGATCAGAAGGTGGGTTTACTTGTTTCCTTCCCCCGTGATTGACTGCCACATCCTAAGTATCTGCAAGACATACTCGCAACGTGGTCTGGTCTGGCCCCCATACGCCCCGCATGACTGTTGATCTTGCTGGGAGTCAGTGTGCATCTCGTCTAGTAGGTTCGGAGTCTAGGAATTTAGTATCACTTCAAGCTTTCAGGGAGAATATCATGTCGGGAGAAGTGCGGCTGAGCCCGCTCATGTGCCAGCCATGGTGGTGGGGACTTGGTCGGTTAGTATGTAAATCGTAGTTCTAGAAAGCTGAGAGCAGGATCTTCCAGTGGCTGCCAGGGAAGTTATTTCTCCGGTGAAGTGTCTCGCTTGTGTTGTCTGGACCGTGATATCGGAATTATTGTTGCTATCAATAGGCTCGAATGAGACACGTGTTGGAAAATCCGCCGAGAATATGAGGGAATCGTGGATGGTCATCGGGAATAAATCCGCGAAGCCAATTGTCTGGTCTTTGCTCCAGGAGCTCTTACATACACTCTCATTGTTGGAGATTCTTATGGTAAGCACACTCGGTATGTTTGAAAAGGCAATCCCATGATCGTTCCTGATATTGACGGCCGTGCTTGCTTGGTCTGTTGCCCGAGTATCCGAGACAGAGGACGATGAGAAAGGAAGACCAGATGAAATGGAATGACATCATCGCGCATTCAAGCCTAGCTTTGGCCGCCACGGCTTAGCTTGAATGTACCTATAGTACGTTAGTGCCTGGATGGTTGGTTTGGTGGCTCATCCTTGGCTAGTGGGCGCCGATGATCTGCCACGGTACTGCCCAAGGTAGAAAGGTGTATTGCATGAGCAGCTTGCGCTAGGAATATTGCTATGAGTAGCTGGTGCGCTAACATATACTGGCGAAATCACAAGCCGTACGCATATGCTTGGTTGTTTTGAGTTGGGTGGCCTGTGTATGAACCTTGGGCTGTGCACAATACCCCGGATTCAAGGTCGCTTGTATGCGGCGTCGCCTGTAATCCACGAGGGGGGTCTTCGGGACGCAAGCACATCCTCGGTTGCTCTGGATGCT